GCCCCACTGTGTAACTTTTTAGAACTTTCAAAACTTTCAAACAAACAAAGAAAAATACTGTTGGATGTTGGATCATTTTATTTAACCGAAAAACGTGTCGTTACTGTGAATGAGCTTGCATCTCCACAAACCTGACCTTTATTTGGACTGGAGGAGGGTCTACTTCTGCTGGTTTCCATGGAAATGTTGTTACTTTTGCTATAATCTTCAACTGGCATAAAACATATGGAGAATATCCATGGAGAATGTTCTGAAGTATGGTCGTAACTTTCTGTTTTCACGCAATCAAGCAGGTGATGTGCCTCCTTCAGAAAGGTACTAGGTTTTGCGTTATTTATTTATTTATTTATTTATTTTTAACCTATTTGCTGTAAATTAAAACTAAAATGTACTCACCACTGGTCAAACGTGCTAACTTTTTCTTGGTTGTCCTGGTTTAGTCCTGGTTTAGTCTTGTTTAGTCCTGGTTTACTCCTGGTTTAGTCCTGGTTTTAGTCCTGATTTACACCTGGTTTAGTCCTGGTTTACTCCTGGTTTAGTCCTGGTTTAGTCCTGGTTTAGTCCTGGTTTAGTCCTGTTTTAGTCATGTTTTAGTCATGTTTTAGTCTTGTTTAGTCCTGGTTTACTCCTGGTTTAGTCCTGGTTTTAGTCCTGGTTTAGTCCTGGTTTACTCCTGGTTTTCTCTTGATTTAGTCCTGGCTTAGTCCTGGTTTACATCCAATTTAGTTCTGATTTACACCTGCTTTAGTCTTGGTTTAGTTCGGATTTACACCTGGTTTACTCCTGGTTTAATCCTGTTTTAGTCCTGTTTTAGTCCTGATTTAGTCTTGTTTAGTCCTGTTTTAGTCCTGGTTTAGTTCTGTTTAGTCCTGGTTTTCTTCTGATTTAGTCCTGGTTTAGTCCTGATTTACATTTGATTTAGACCTGGTTTAGTCTTGGTTTACACCTGACTTACTCCTGGTTTAGTCCTTGTTTAGTCCTGGTTTAGTCCTTGTTTAGTCCTGGTTTAGTCCTGATTTACACTTGATTTAGTCCTGGTTTAGTTTTGGTTTAGTTCCAGTTCACTCCTGTTTAAATTCTATTTAATTCTTTCAGTCATGATTTCTTCTAGTTAACGCTAATGTACTTTACCTTTTTCATTTTCTAGTATTTTGAGTTAAATATTTGAGTGACACATACAGGTCAAAGGGTTGAGGTTGCGCATCTATATCTTTTGCTCATTTTGTGGTTTAATATAAAAGCTGTTAGTGGTTAGAGAAGAATTGTAGACTCAGCATTTTCGATTGGCAAGAAGAACGACCTTGTGCTCCAACTCGTAAACACGGAGGCTCATTATACCTGGGGCCTGTTTGAATCATACCTTTGTGTTTGTAATTATACTAAATGGGCGTGGCGGATGCTTTAACGGTTCAAAGATTTCAAATCACAATCTCTGTATTTTTTACATGTGAAACGTCACTGTAACTGCAGTTCCCCCTGCGCAGCCTGTCTGACGCGTTAGTCTGGGTAAGGACAGATCAGCAGACGGGAGTTTTTAAATGGCTTCGGAATTCACCTGGAAGGTAGGAAGACAAGCCCGTGCGACCTAGATAAAACTATGGATTTAAATATAATCATCGTATCCAATCCAATCCAATTGAATTCTATGGCACTTTTCACAAACTGTTTCCAAAGTGCCACACAAATAAAATAAACTACTAAAATAATCATACTAGTCTTAAAATAATAAAACCAGTAAAATGGAATAAGAGCAAAATCATAAAATAGCAATAAATAAATAAAACCAATAAAAATACGTTAAAAATAAATAAAAGACACAGAGGAGCACACAACTCACGCGGTGTTAAAAGCCAGAGAATAAAAGTGGGTCTTAAGACGAGACTTAAAATTCTCCACTGTGGGGGCTGTTCGAGTGTGGAGGGGCAGAGTGTTCCAGAGCTTAGGGCCGACCACAGAGAAGGAGGCCCCGTCCCCCCTGGTTTTTAGTTTCGTCTTAGGCACCAAGAGCTGGAGCTGGACCTCAGACCTCAGAACGCGCACGGAGGTATACATTTGGATGAGGTCCGAGACGCACTGTGGGGCCAGTCCATTCAAAGCTTTAAACACAAACAGCAGAATCTTAAAATCAACTCTAAAATGAACAGGAAGCCAGTGCAAAGACACGAGGATTGGGGTATTGTGCTCTCTTCTTTTGGTTCCTGTTAAAAGTCGCGCTGCAGAGTTTTGGACTAACAGTAGTCGGTAAAGTGCGTTTTGTGAGATGCCGGAATAAAGTGCATTACAGTCGTCCAGTCGCGATGAAATAAAAGCATGCATAATTTGTTCAAAAAGTTTAAAAGATAAAAAAGGTTTGACTTTAGATAAAAGCTGCAAATGATAAAAACTTGATTTTAAAACATCATTGATCTGCTTGTCAAACTTAAAATCACTGTCTTAAGCATCTTAAATACCTCATTAAAAGCTGTTTTGTTTCATTCACACATGTTTGAATAACCTTTTCTTATAGTCTGACTATTGTACATCTCCAAAAGTTCAAAATGTGCTGTTCCACCTTGGAATGTCATGAAGTGGTAGTTTTCAAGTTAACAGCTACCTTTTATTTAGGAGAAATTGGCAATTCCAAGGCTGAAGTTAATCCATTTGATTTTAGTGAAGGTGTATGGAGTTGAAAAACACAGTGGAGCACTCCCTGTATTACAATATGACATCACAAAGTGGAATTGTGAGAGAAGAACTCAGCTTAAATATGCAGGCTTTGTGAATGAAACAAAATAAAACTTCAGGTATGTATATCATAGATCAGCATAATATGGGCCCTTGAAAAATTCCAGTTTTGTCTTTTGTGATTTTATTATGACCCTGAACACCTGTGTAAATAAGCCATAAGAAATACGCCCTACTTTCAATACTTGTTTTTGTATTGATCAGTATCTGGGTATCGGTTTGGACAACCACTGATGCAGACAAATGAACGTCAGTACTAGACATTTACACCGTAGTCTGTCTACAGTCTTTCCGAAACTTTTTTTTTTCTGGGGACCTTTATTTTAAAAGATACAAACCTTCGCAACCCAAGTCAATAGACATTATTCGTAAATCACAAAATAAAGGTGGATTTGACCATTATTGAAGATTAATGAGGATATTTTATTGACTGAGTGATCATGTCTCTGAACGATTAATATTGCTCAAGTTTTAAACCCTCTGCAGGCAGGCATTGCAGATTTGCAACAGCTAAATTCCAATTACTTACTTACTGCACATCCATACTTAATGAGCCTTTTTTACTCAGGAGCCTTTTTTCCCATCCATGCTCATAAACGTGGACGATGTAGACTGAGCAAGAATGGCTACACACAAACGACCTGCCAGAAGTGCAAAGTACTTTTGTGCTTTACAAAGGATAAAAATTATTTCTTGGAGTACCACACGAAAAAGTGATTTATACCAAGTTGTTTTGATTGTTGTTCTGCCACCTTAAAGCACTGTTACACTGTGCTTTTTGTTTTCATTGTTATGAAAAGTGGTATACAAATAAAGTTAGCATTCATATCAATTTCAGTCTTAATTTCAGTGTTAATTTACCACACTGGGCCAATGCTGCAAATCTGCAACATCCCAGAACACACTGGATGTGAAGGTTTCTCTCAAAAAAAAAAAAGTCAGGATTGTATATTACTACCCCATATGAAAATTTTCCCCAAATATCTGATTTTTCCTGTTACTAAAACTTAATTTGAGCCTGAGAGGGTTAAAAAGTTTGAAAAACAGTCATTGAACCAGCAATAAAAGAATCCATAAGAAGTCTATTTGGATGTTAAGTGTAGCGCATTTCTTTTTCTTTTCAATATTCAATTGAACCAGGAAAATAGTCAATGAAACAATTACAAAAAGATTAGAAATTATACAAAACATGTCTTAACATTTCAGCATTTAAGGCTGTGTTTTTGTAGCGTGTTCCAGTCCGGGCTGCAGGAGGAGAACACAGCAGCAGATCAGGTTCAGCATTCAGTCTGTTTCTGTGCTTTGTCTTCATTTTTGTGAGCACAGAAAATCCCAGTTCTCACATATATGTAGCAGTGAAAGGAACAAGCATACATTCACACACATTCTTATTTGTCGAAACTGTATATTGTAGACCCACATGCAGATCGTGACAAGGCAACCCCCCAAAAAAATTCTTGTACCATGTTCCATATACGTTTTTGGTCATTTTGGTCTTAAAATGTTTGTATTAACCCATTTTACATGAGTCTGGGCTTTGTATTTCACTATTTCAATTTGTAGCCTCTATAACTGCCAGCCTCAATGAGTGTTTGAAAAATACAACTAAGATAATTTATTATTTATTTTATTGACTAGTCATAATAAGTTGATTAATCGTCTCAGCCCTTATCATGATCTTGAAAACCACAGAGAGTTTTTGGCACAGACTCATGACCTGATGCTGGCATTGTTGTATTTGCATATTATAGAAGTGATAAAGCATTCTTATCTCTCAGTGTGGTTTTCTTTGCATACAAACGTTATTATTTAGTACGCACAAAGGTTCTATTGAGTTGCAACTTGATTATGAAGAGATGTTGATAACTTGCAAAACCTGAATACATTTTAATGCGCTGCTGCTAAACAAATATGAGATAAGATAATGCTACTGAGACTATTTTATTTTATTTTTTTCACAGTGATGCAAGACTTTGAGTTTGAGGATTTCCAGAGAATGATAAATATAAATAAACAGGAATGGAATTTGTAGACTAAATTTGATCTGAATCTGCATGTTGTTCCTCACTCTGTTATTGTTGGGATTTTTTTTTTTTTTGTATTATATTGTGTATGTTTCTGCAGCCTGTAAAAATGTCTTGACTTTTTTATGGGTCCTATATTACACAGAGTCATGTTATAATGTTGTTACCTCATCAAAAACAATCCTATATCTGACACCAAATTGCTTTTCCCATTAAAAGTCCCACCTAACCCACCTCTACTCTTATGTCCAGGTGTTGGCGATAGCGATGGACCTCCTGACAGACCTTCAGATCCTCCAGGACCTGCTGGACGCCTCCTCTCGTCGTTCCGTGGCTGTCTACATAGTCCTGGACGAGGGCGGGGTCCCTCACTTCCTCGACATGTGCTCCAGACTCCAGATCAGCGCCGTGCATCTCAGGGTAAGACCACAGGAGGGGTTTTAATCAGAGTTAAACATGGATTTGGTTGAGGATAGTGATCTCTCTGTGACTAATTTAGCCTGTCCCACTTTTTACTCCAGTTTTTAAAGCAGCACTAAGTCACTTAAGCGATAGAGCGCCCTCTGCAGCTATCTTATGAGAAGACATTATCAGGGACAAACATGATTTTTCAAATTGAAATAAGGCAGTATATACAAACATAATATATTCTCTCTTCAGGTCGTGTCTGCCATATTGAAAGGCTACTTTTCTGCCTGTATAGCTTTAAAATGACACACTGTTTTTTTCAGACTATAAAGTGCACCTGATTATAAAGCGCAATATCAATAATGTTGAATTCTCTCATCTATTTTCATACATAAGGTGCACCAGATTATAAAACACATTAAACAAAACAAACGGAGGACACTTGAGACTGATCCCTTAGCCCAGGCATCCACTGTCCATTGGCAGATTGGCATCACCTCCCTGTCTTCATGAATGTGTATTATGAATGTGAATGTGGGTGGATAATTTAAGTTTGTTGTTTTATTTCCTATGAAGAGAACTCAAATATTAATTGAGTAATAATGTGTTTAATGCAGCTTTGAGCACATTTATTTCCATTTTACAGAAACAAAACTTAAAACCACATGGCTAATTTGCATAAATTATAAACTCTGAACAGAAACAGCTCGCTCCTAGTGCTCTGATGCAGTCAGCTTCTGTTGGACTAAAGGACACGACTTACTTACTCTGCGAGGTTCCTGACTACAGTAACCCGTAATACTCTAACAATCCATCAAGCGGTGCGACTTGGTAGCTTCGCAAGGTCGTACTAAAACATTTTGACATATTTCTAAGCGCCGTGTACCATATAAGCACAACCTCAATTAATACATAAGGCACACTGAGAATTTTTGAGAAAATTAAAGGACCTTTAATGATTTTATTCCTCAAAAATGTGTTGTTTTTATTCCTTTAAAGTCTCAAAAAGTCTCTGTGAGTGCGCCCATCGCTCCATAAATTTGACTTAGAACTTGGTTTGGTTGAGACACATCTCCATGGATACAAGCAGGTGGCAGGCCCTCCTCTAGTAAACATGCTACACCTTTAAACAGAAGACGCCAAGGTAAGTTACAGGCAAGATCTGTTTAGTGGTGTGTTTTAAGCTATAAAAACCTGTAATTGATTAATGCAAGATAAACAAGTTTAATGCCATACAAAACAATAACAAATCCATGGAGACAAGCAGGTAGCAACTCCCCACCTGAAAAATGACATGATACACCTTTAAAAACTGTAAGCAAAGACTGGCCTAGATTGGATTTGTGATTGTAGGTGCACTGGCGACACAGCACACGGCTTATCTCCTGTTAGCTTCAGTTAGCGCGTCTATGCTGACTCTCGTGTGTCACCTGATCAGGCTTTAAATAGGTCTTTAAATAGGTCTTTCACTGCTCTGTCACTGACAAATGTGCATTCATCGACTCCAAACAGGTCTTTAGAATTAGACTGTAACTAGATCCACAATGAACAACAACAACTATGCTCATAACAGCTCTGCTCTCACAACGAAATAAAAAAGAACACAAAGAAAGAAAGAGAGAAAGAAAGGAAGGAAGAGAAAGTGGAATGCCGTTTTAGAAAAAAAAAAAAAAATATAATATATATATATATATATATATATATATATATATATATATATATATATATATATATATATATATATATATATATATATATTTTTGATGTTGCAGTAGTAATAGCAGTAGTAGACATAGGAATAAGTAATAGTAGTAATAGTAAGTAGTAGTAGCAGCAGCATCAATTATAGTAGTAATTATAGTAGTAGTAATAGTAATTGTAGCAGTAAGAGGAATTAGGAGTATATAGTAGTAGTAGTAGTAGTAGTAGTAGTAGTAATAATAATAGTTGTAGAAGTAGTAATAATAGTAGTAATAGTAGTGGTAGTAGTATTGATAGTAGTAATAGGAGTAGTAGCAGCAGCAGTAGTAGTAGCACCAGTAGTAGTAGTAGCAGTAGCAGTAATAATAATAGTAATAGTAGTAATAGTAGTATAGTAGTTATAGGTAGTAGTAGTAGTAGTAGTAGTAGTAGTAGTAGTAGTAGTAGTAGTAGTAGTAGTAGTAGTAGTAGTAGTAGTAGTAGTAGTAGTAGTAGTAGTAGTAGTAGTCATCGTAGTAGTAGGAGGAGTAGGAGTAGTAGTAGTAGTAGTGGTAGTAGTAGTCATAGTAGTAGTAGGAGTAGTAGTAGTAGTAGGAGTAGTAGTATTAATAATAATAATAGTAATAGTAATAGTAATAATCGTAGTATAGTAGTTATAGTAGTAGTAGTAGTAGTAATAGTAGTAGTAGTAGTAGTAGTAGTAGTAGTAGTAGTAGTAGTAGTAGTAGTAGTAGTAGTAGTAGTAGTAGTAGTAGTAGTAGTAGTAGTAGTAGTAGTAGTAGGAGGAGGAGTAGTAGTTGGGGCCAGAACCTCCTTGTCAAATCCAGATCTCATCAGATCTCAGAATCTAAGCAGTACTGGGCCTGGTTAGTACTTGGATAGGAGACCGCTGGGAAAACCAGGAGCCAGTGGCAAAAACTGTTGTTGTGTTCTTAGGCAAGACACTTCATCCACATTAACTAGTATGAATGTGGTGTGTGAGTGTTGGCACTGGTCGGAGCGGTCCATGTCATAGACTTTAATAATAATAAAAGTTTATCTCCGCTAAGTGTTATCAGTAGAAAAACCCAGTGACCCTCATCTGGGACTATGACATCATCACGCTTTAGAAACTGGAAAAACACCATGTACTTTTACACTACGCAATGTCCTATTTAACTAGTATGAATACATTACAATATTTACTTTCGAACTACCTCCTTGAGTCAGTGTGTGTGTTCGTAAAGTCCCCGTCTCTCCCCTTTAAACAAACAGGCTCAGGCTTTGGCTCTTATAGGTAAAGGTGTGACTGTTTTGTTTGTCCAGGCACGTCCTCTTCCCAACTGTAATAAATGATGTTGTGACAAGTTTATTTAAGAGGAAACATTTCACAGACAAATCATTTCCACTGTGGATCAATAAAGTTTGTCTAAGTCTAAAGTCTAAAGTCAAAGTACAAGAGGACAAAACTCAAATAAAATGTCCGTTCAAGCTATATTTATTGTGTTTGTGTAATTTATATGTAGTATTAGTAGAAGCAGTAGAATATGTTTAGTAGTAGTAGTAGTAGTAGTAGTAGTCGTAGTAGTAGTAGTAGCACTAGAATATGTCTCAGTAGTAGTAGTAGTAGTAGTAGTAGTAGTAGTAGTAGTAGTAGTAGTAGTAGTAGAATATGTCTGAGTAGTAGAAGTAGTAGTTGTAGAAGAATATACCTCAGTATTAGTTGTAGTTGACATGAATAATGAGTAGTAGTAGTAGTAGTAGTAGTAGTAGTAGTAGTAGTAGTAGTAGAATATGTCTCAGTAGTAGCACTAGTAGTTGTAGTAGTAGTAGTAGTAGTAGTGACAGCAGTAAAATATGCCTCAGTAGTAGTAGAATAGTAGTAGTAATAGTAGTAGTAGAATATGCCTCAGTAGTAGTACTAGTAGTAATAGTAATAGTAGTAGTAGTAGTAGTAGTCGTTGTTGTAGTAGTAGTAGAGTATGCCTCAGTAGTAGCAGTAGTAGTAGTAGTAGTAGTAGTAGTAATAGTATAGTAGTAGTAGTAGTAGTAGTAGTAGTAGTAGTAGTAGTAGTAGTAGAGTATGCCTCAGTAGTAGCAGTAGTACTAGTAGTAGTAGTAGTAGTAGTAGTAGTAGTAGTAGTAGTAGTAGTAGTAGTAGTAGTAGTAGTAGTAGTAGTAGTAGTAGTAGTAGTAGTAGTAGTAGTATGTAGTAGTCAGTAGTAGTAGTAGTAGTAGTAGTAGTAGTAGTAGTATAGTAGTAGTAGTAGTAGTAGTAGTAGTCGTTGTTGTAGTAGTAGTAGAGTATGCCTCAGTAGTAGCAGTAGTAGTAGTAGTAGTAAGTAGTAGTAGTAGTAGTAGTAGTAGTAGTAGTAGTAGTAGTAGTAGTAGTAGTAGTAGTAGTAGTAGTAGTAGTAGTAGTAGTAGTAGTAGTAGTAGTAGTAGTAGTAGTAGTAGTAGTAGTAGTAAGTAGTAAGTAGTAGTAGTAGTAGTAGCAGTAGTAGTAGTAGTAATAGTAATAGTAGTAGTAGTAGTAGTAGTAGTAGTAGTAGTAGTAGTAGTAGTAGTAGTAGTAATAGTAGTAGTAGTAGTAGTAGTAGTAGTAGTAGTAGTAGTAATAGTAGTAGTAGAGTATGCCTCAGTAGTAGCAGTAGTAGTAGTAGTAGTAGTAGTAGTAGTAGTAGTAGTAGTAGTAGTAGTAGAATAGCTGTAGTAGTGGTTGTTGTAATATTACGCAGTAGCTGTTTTATCAGTAGCAGTAGTTTGGCAAACAAAAGTACTATCAGTAAAACAACAGTAGTAGAAGTGGATAGATAGACTTATTTAATAGATTATTTAATAGATAGAATGATTGTTACTGACTCCTACTTAGTGTTTGTAGTATTACATTAACAGTACTTGTATACATTAAAGTACACATGTATTTCCCTCCTTTACAGAACCTGCGTGTGCGTTTGGTGCGGGGCTGTGGTCTGGCTCTGTCCTGTGGGAGACTGCCCGGCTCCCTCTGCTCCAAGTACATGCTCGTGGACGGAGAGAAGGTCATGTTTGGGTCCTACAGGTGAGTTACAGCAACAACATCAACAGCAACAAGTTTTATTATTATTTAGACAATTTGTATTAGTATATAAAAAATACATTCATGTTTTGATAGTCATAATTGTTATCTGGACTATACAGATAAGATAAGATAGACTCAAAAACACATACAAAAAGACTACCATATTTTTCTGACTATAAGGTGCACCGGATTATAAGGCACAATATCAATAATGTCGAAATGTCTCGTCTATTTTCATACATAAGTCACATCGGATTATAAGGTGCATTAAGTGAAACAAATGGACGACACTTGAAACTGATCCCTTAGCCCAGGCGTCCACAGATCATGGCTTAATTCAACCGCCGTTGCTTCCCTGGGTTGGTGAATGTGGAATATGAATGTGAATGTGGGTGGATAATTTAAGTTTGTTTTTTTATTTCCTACAAGGAGGAATGAAATATACATTGAGTTGTAATGTGTTTGACGCAGCTTTGAGCACATTTGTTTACGTTTTGGCTGCCACATGGCTAATTTGCATAAACTATAAGCGCTGAAAAAATAGCTTGCTCCTTGTACGCTGATGCGGTCAACTTCTGTCGGACTAAAGGACACAACTCAGTGGAATATATGTGTTCTGTCTATGACAAGGCGAAGGCAGTAGTGTGCGCTGAGTCGACGCAGAAATATATTTCACCTTTTACTCCGCGAGTAAAAGGTGAAATGCCCCGACAAACCATCAAGTGGTGCGGCTTCGTAGCTTACCAAAGTCATACTACAATATTTGGATACATTTTCGAGTGCCGTGTACCACCGGATTATAAAGCACACTGTCGATTTTAAAGAAAATTAAAGGATTTTAAGTGCACCTTATACTACAAAAAATAGGGTATATTAAAGGTGCACTGTGTAACTTTTCTAGTGGAGGATCTGCCGCCTGTTTTTTTGTGTGGAAATGTTATTGCTTTGTCTAGAATGTTCCACTTAGAGATTAAACTTATCTATCAGAATTGAGACAACTATAAGATACATTATAAAGGTCAGATCTGTGGAGAGTCGGCTCTATTCACAGAAGGAATTATTGTATTTTTGGGCAATCAACACCCGTAATGAATAAATACTAGATAGATATGTTTAATGTCATACCATGGAACATTCCAAGTATAACAAAACATCTCCATGGAGACAAGCAGGAAACAACATTATATCAGATCAGAAAATAGCATAAATGGGCCTTTTAATTTCTCGAGCACTAACCCTCTCAGCTACTGCTCCGCCTACAACTTATATTTGTTAAATTGCAATCCACAGTCGCAAAGACCTGTATTTTTTCCTTATAGAGTAATGGTTGATGGTGTGATGATTGAGTAGAGTGTGAGAGTTCTTTTCTGATCTTAAGAACACGGACAATTACAGCTATTTCCTTTGAGAGCTCAGTTTGATCAAAGATTACCTCTTGAATGATTGTAATTTATGTAGCTTTGGTACATTCAGTCTTTGCTTTAAACAATAGCGAGGTATTACATTGAGGTAACGTTATAAAGCAGCAAATCAACTTGTAACTTGTGGTGAAATAATAAAAATAAATATGACTTGACATATTGTGACAAAACACTAGCAACATTTCACTCGAGACTGAGCATGAGCATTATATGAAGGGCATCTGGTTTAAGTTTTCTGCTTTACAATAACTTCAAATTACAACTCACATGTCAAGTTCCAGCATTTAACCTTGCAATTATTGTAACTTGAGTAGTAGTTTTTCTTTTGACTCTTTCTTAGACCACTACTTACAACTATTACAATTGTACTTCTTCTTGAGTAATATTGTTAGGTGCACTATGTAACTTTTTGGTTGAAGGTCCGTCACTTTCACTGTTGCCTCTCCACAGATTTGTCCTGTAAGTTGGTTTGGTTTGGTCTATGTGAAGACAGAAAAGTTTAGTACCACACACAGCAAAAAGTGGAGTGTTAAAATCTCACAGGATCAATTTTAACATTTTCTCAGGGTTTATATGAGTCCAATCTGTTCTAGTGTTAGTTTGACATTTAAAAAAAATGTTAATTAAGTAACACTGGACCAAAGTTCCTGTTTAACCCCAAAATCAAGAGTTATATTAACGTTTTGAGAGTAAACGGATAACACTTTTTAGGGTTTTCCTAATTTAGCTAAACAACACACAGAGGTGTTTTATTTTTACTTTTATTTTAAAGATGAAATTATGTACAAAATCTGGTTCAAACTGGTTTACTCTCACGGGAGTTTGAATGGGTTAGTAGGAGGTGCCAAATTAACACTAAGGGAAGTTGAATTAACACTTGTGGAAGTTGAATTAACACTAGGGGAAGTTGAATTAACACTTGTGGAAGTTGAATTAACACTAGAGGAAGTTGAATTAACTTCAACCATATCATCTCTGGCAAAAAAACAAACAAAAAACAACTCGAACCCCCATTTAACTTTCAAATAGTTAAAATAACACTTTTTGTGTTAAAAACAACTCTGAAATATTTCACCCTGAAATTTCATCTCCGTGACAAAAAGCATTTGACGAACCCTCCACCAGGAAAGTGACACAATGCACCTTTAACTACAATTTGTGACCACTCAACCCATTTCTATTTAATGAAAGTCTTATTGTTCATGTATTTGAGCAAATGGAAAAGCTGTAGAAGTCTGCATTTTGTTGTCAGATAATGAGGAAGTGTGCTGTTAGCATGCTAGTTTTTTTTTAAAAGCATCCCTGTGTCGGCAAACTGGTCTCTGAAAGTTGTGAAAAGGATTTATAAACTCCTCACTGTGAATAATTAGGATCTTCTGAATGAATAAGATAAGTTAGGAACCACTGTGTACCACATCAAATGAACTTTATATGTCCTTCTTGATTCAACCTTTTACATTTTCCCGTGCTTGGGGTTGACACAAAGCTTACACTATCTTTGTAATCCCTTGTTTATGGAGCTGATTTGAATGTTTGCCACACAGAGAGTTGACAGATCAATCTGTATTGATATTGTCCACAGTGTTGCAGCTGTGGAGCTTTATAATGAGAGCAGGAAACAGGCATGGATCACAAGTGTCCAGTCAAATGTCACATCAACATTTGTGACCCGAGCCACTGCAGAAGAATAAACAGACTTCAGTGGTCATGCACTTCTCTTCTTTCTGAAGGAATTAACAAAATGACTTAAACCTACCTATCTGTATCCATGGAGACGAGCAACTAGGTCAAGGTACAGGTCAGACCTTAAGTTATATGTAATAGTAGTAGTAGTAGTAGTAGTAGCAGTAGTGGAATATGCCTCAATATTAGTAGTTGACATGAGAATGAGCAGTAGTAGTAGCAGTAGCAGTAGTAGTAGGAGTAGTAGTAGCAGTATTTATAGTATTAGTCACAGCCATTATATTAGTTGGAGTAGTCATTATAGTAGTAGTAGTAGTAGTAGTAGTAGCAGTTGTAGTAGCAGTATTTATAATAGTAGTCGCAGTCATTATAGTAGTTGTAGTAGTAATAGTAGTAGTGGAATATGCCTCAGTATTAGTAGTTGACACGTGAATGAGCAGTAGTAGTAGCAGTAGCAGTAGTAGTAGGAGTAGTAGTAGCAGTATTTATAGTATTAGTCACAGCCATTATATTAGTTGGAGTAGTCATTATAGTAGTAGTAGTAGTAGTAGTAGTAGCAGTTGTAGTAGCAGTATTTATAATAGTAGTCGCAGTCATTATAGTAGTTGTAGTAGTAATAGTAGTAGTGGAATATGCCTCAGTATTAGTAGTTGACACGTGAATGAGCAGTAGTAGTAGCAGTAGCAGTAATAGTTATAGTAGTAGTCGCAGTCGTTATAGTAGCCATAGCAGTAGTGAAATAAGCCTCAGTTTTAATAGATGACAAGTGAAGGAGCAGTAGTAGTAATAGTAGTCCTAGTAGTAGTAGTTATAGTAGTTGCAGCAGTAGCAGTAGCAGAACCTACATTTATTCAATTACAGATGGTTTTATTTCTCAAAAATATTTAGAAAAACAGGCATTCTGGTGGGGTAGCCTCTCCACAGATCTGACCTGTAACTTGGTCTGCTTTGGTCTCCATGGAGATAGAAAGGTTTAATGCCATACTGTGAAACATTCCAGACTACAAAAGAACTAACAATTAAGACATATTTATCATTTGTAGTGTTTTTGTACAACTTACAGGGGGGAAAATGTGAAAAAAAAAAAAAGTTGACAGCGTTTTGAATTACGTCTAAAGTTAGCAAAGAAACTAACCTTGACAGACGACAGATGTTTGAATGGCCTTATCTGTCATGCTTTTTAATATTTTTTTTAAAAATATTTTTTCGCAAGGTTCAGTGGTGAGAAAAGGTGGTCGTGACATTGTCTGAATACAGAAAAGATCACAGATTTTTATTCCATTATGACGTTTTAAATGTGGCCTTCTGTACAGAGTGTCTTTGTGAATGTTTATTGCAGTGGTCTGGAAGTGCAGTGGAGATATGTGAAGATACTATATGTACTTGTTTGTATTTGGTTAAAAATGAACAAGGATCATGTGTTGATTTTGGACTTTTGGACTTTTTTAATAAAACAAAAATCAGTAATGGTCTGCTTCAGTTTAGGGGATTGCTAAGTAGTTAAAGATATACAGAAGTGGTTAATCTTTGGTAGTTATAAAGTATGTTTTTCCCCAGAATGTTGTACAGGGCTGGGTTTAATTTAACTCTCTCCATGGAGACAAACACGCCACATCACAAGGCCAAATTACAGGTCAGATCTGTGGAGGAGTGAGCCCTTTCACAATAACAATGTGTTTTTTACTGTAGTTTCAAGAAATAAAAATGCCTATTGTTTCACAAATACAAGATATATTTGTTTAATGCCATACTGTGTAACATCCCAGGCAAAGCGTAACAGCAGACCCTCCATCAGAAAAGTCCCACACTGCACCTTTAATACTCTCTAAGGCAGTGTACCTGATTTCTTTAGCTTATTTTAAAACGTTTGCATTGGTCCAGTTATTCCTCACTTATATTATGTATTCAGAGCATCTTTAACAAAAATTTCAGTCCGATGTGAAGTTTTACTGTCATGGTAAAGCTAACAACTAGCATGCTAACTGCACACTTCCTCATTATCTCACAATAAAATGTGAATTAGACAGCAGACTTATTTCTACAGTTTGTCCATTTGCTCAAAATAAGACTTTAATTAAATAGAAATGGGTTGAATGGTCACAAATTGGAGTCGCTTTTCAAACTAGTGTGTCAATCATGCACTTCCTGATTATAGGACAATCAAAGTGCTTTAGAATCAGATACAGACAGTACGCAGACGGCTTATTTTGACCTCAAGAGCTGCTGATACAATATATCTGTACTGAGCGGAAAGACAGATTGTTCATAATGGATTAAGTCTTTGTTCATATTTTATTAAAGGTGCATTGTGTAACTTTTATGGTGGAGGGTTCATCAAATACCATCTGCTTTTCTCCATGGAGATGCTATGGCTCTGTCTGGAATGTTTCACAGTATGGCATTAAACCTTTCTATCATCATGGAGACCAAACCAGATCAAGTTACAGGTCACATCTGTGGAGAGGTGACCCTGCTCACAGTCACAATGTCTGTTTTTCTAGATATTTTTGAGCTATGAAATCACCTGTAATTGAATAAAAGCAAGGTAGACCATGTAACATTTCAGGCAGAGCAATGACGTATCCATAGAAAAACCCCAACAAAAAGTTACAAAGTGCACCTTTAAAGATGACTTATGTTTAGTTTCATAAAGTAGTACCAAAAGGAAAATATAGTTTGAACGGCCTGAACCTGATTTCAAACTGTGAGTCAGAAACGTGTTTCAGTTTGAACTTGAAGCCCCGCCCACCTTCTCCTTTATGCCACTGTGGTATTGCACCATGACACAAAAACCTCTGTCTGGGAGAGTGTCAGGCAGTTGGTTTCCCATAAATAACAATGAATCTTACAGTAACTGTCCACCCTCCTGCTCCTGACCTACTTCTATTTTTCCATTTCTGAGACTTTCTGGGAAAAAAAGGCGTTTTAAAGTTTTACTCAGAACTAATCAGATATGTGGTAACTAATGACTACCTCAGACCCACAATTTTATGAAAAAACAAAGTTTCTGAAACTTTGTAAATTGCAAAGTTAAAACATTTTGTAGAATCTTGAGTTTTAAACGTGCCTTTTGGATTTAAAACGACCACATTGTGGATAATAGTTTGCACGTAGATGGTTAGATTTTGAACTCTTAATATTTTACATTTTCAAAGAGTCTATGGGAAAAATGAATGGAAAATTTACTTCCGGAACCAAAGCAAGCGGTCACCGTTGAGCTCAATAAACCTGACTGGATGACCCTGTACTTTCTGTATTAGTTATTTATTACCTGGGAAAATCCTACGTATAACTGATAGATTGTATTTTAAAACCTTTTTTTTCCTTCTGATTTAACAGCTTCGGGGGTCTGTCATTTGCTTGTTCCTATGGATATGCCATTACGCTGCTTCGAATGTTCCACAATATGACATTAAACAGCTCTACCTTACATTTATTCAATTACTGGTGGTTTTATTGCATAGAAAAACAGGCAATCTGAGTCTCTACAGATCTGACCGGTAACTTGGCCTGGCTTGGTTACCATGAAGATAGAAAGGTTTAATACTATACTGCGAAACATTTCAGACAAAGCAGTAACATCTCCATGGAGAAAAGGATTTGATGGACCCTGCACTGGAAAAGTTACACAATGTACTTTTAACATACAAATCATGACGTAAAGAGGATTTATCTTGACAAAAATGAATTCAAATCAGATACAGGCACTTTAAAGGTGTATTGTGTATCATTTCTCCAAAACAGACCAAGTTACAGGTCAGATCTGTGGAGTCAGTTTGAGCTATAAAACCACCCAAAATTGAACAAATGTGAGGTAGAGCTGTTTAATGTCATACTGTGGAACATTCTAGGCTCAGTAATGACACCTCCATAGAAAAAAGAAGGTGATGGATTTCCTGACAAAAAGGTTACATAGTGCATCTTTAAAGCAATTTCTTTTCTTTTGCAGTTTCACCTGGAGTTCTTCTCGTATGGACCGAAACACCATCACGGTCATGACGGGGCAGGTGGTGGACAACTTCGACCAGGATTTTCGAGAACTTTACGCGATTTCCCAACAAGTGGACCTTTATCGCGAATTTAACATCACGAAACCGCCCGTGACCAACCACGTCAAAAAACCCAAAGTGGAGCCTATCAAGCCAACTCCCGTCTCTACATCACGATTCCAAGTTTCGGTCGGCGACACGAAGCAAATGGACGTCAAAGTCCCGGCCCATAAGTATCACAATCCCAAATATTCCTTAGTTTTCGGAAATAAAACAGGTTTGACGACATCGCTGCAAGACCTGTCCACGGCGAAAGACTCCGTAAGTAGCGTTAACACCAAAAAAATTAGCAGTTTTCTGTACGCGAGTAAGGATGCTAAACTGGACAAAACAGAGGCGGGAAGCACGAGGTCGAATACGACAGAGGACGAGCACGAACCGAAGCCAAATTTGAAGAAAAATCACAGCAAGAAGCAGCTAACGTCATTCAGGAATTTGCTTAAAGGGAAGCATGCTCACAACGCACCACCAGACACTATAACTGAAGGCGTGGCGACCCAGAACAGTCCGGTACAAAATGGTAAATTGGGAACGTCACATCATAGTCCAGCTCAGAAAGGCAAACTGGGAACGTCGCATAGTCCGGTACAGAACGGAAAAATTGGAACGTCTCACAGTCCGGTTCAGAACGGGAAGGTGCTCATGGTGGACGCAAATGGAGGGAATGAATCCGAAGACGGGTTTGAGATCTTGGAGAAACCCGGAACGCAGAGGAACAAAAGCAAGAAGAGTGGGAAGCTGATACATCGGAGCGTGTCCCTACAGGCCATCGACGTCGGAGCAGGAGAGGACGGTGGGTAGATGTTTTATTTATACAGGTGTCAGTGTGGTGTTTTATGTTTTATATATTTTATAAAATAAATATATAGGAGTAAAAAAAAACAAAAAAACAGCAACAACAAAACTCAAAAAAAGTATCTGTATTTGACATAGTGATCTTATTTTGATTGTACATACTGATTAATTAAGTCGTACAATATTTATTTTATCTGTTTATTTTCATTATCATCTACCAGTAGGATAAGAAAACACACATTAAATATTAAACAAATAAAAATAAATTAAAATAAATACAATTAAAATTAATGACATTAAATTAAATTACATTAAATTCAATTAAAGGACAAGTTTAGTCATCTATAGACTTAACTACGGTGGCTTGAGCATTGAGTTTATTCAAGTTAGAGTCTCCTTTCTCGTTGTTAAAGATGCAGTAACTTTTCTAGTGAAGAGTCAACTACATGTTTGTCTCCATGGAGATGTTATAGCTTTGCTTGAAATGTTCCATAGTATGGCATTAAACTGATTAGTCTTATATATTCCATTACAGGTGTTTTTGTAGCTTAAAAAAAAAAGATACCTTAAGAAACATGCATTCTTACTATACATGGCTTCACCTCTGACCTGTAACTTGGCTTTTTGATGCCACCAGATTGTCTCCATATAGATAAGATAATGCCAAAGCAATAACATCTCCATGCCGACAACCCTTATTGAAAACATAACAAATAGTTATATATTTAACTTTTATTTAACCAGGAAAGTCCCATTGAGATTAAACTAAACTCTTTTTCAAGGAAGTCCTGGCCAAGACTAGTCAGGCTGGTGCCACCTAGTGATTCCGCTCAATTTCATGTCTCTCCAGCGACTAGATCAGGAATCAGAATACACTAGACGGTTCGCAAAAACCCCAGAAGTGCGAGTTCGGGCACCAGCCAATCAGCGAAGATTCATACATTCTGTGTTGGAAATGATTCCCGAGATCGAGGATTTAAAGTCAAAACAAAGAGAATGTTTGGTGAATTTTATCAAGGAGAAAGACGTTATTGCCCTTCTTCCTATGGGATTTGGGAAAAGCTTAATATACCAGTTAACCCTGTTAGCGGCACATTAGATACATCACGACCAAATAGCAGTGATTGGTTAAATTTAAAAAAGTACCCGCCTACTGTCAAGCAAATGAATCCTAATGCAGTGAGGTCAGACAGTTTCTACAAAGTGAAACCAGCTGATGAATCAGGTTAGGCCAAGACCACACCACAGATACAAAAAAATAAGCTTACATTTAGACAATTACAACAATTTCTTCGCTAAAAACAGTTTCAAACCATAGATCTCATTTCCAGAGCTTTAACGTTCATTTAAATAAACTTGTTTGAACCAGCCGTTTTATTGCTTTCTACTTTTAAATACTATGACTCAAATGTATTCCTGAGCATATACCGATTCAAATTCTATTTTTAAACGTATTGAAATGGTTGACTCATTCATTTTATAGATCTGCTTCTGGGGGCCACGTTTTCTTGGCAGGAAACTCTTCTGCAGAAACTTGTACACGTGAAGGTTAATCGAGAGTTATCTTTCAAAAAAAACACCTAAAGCCAATGGGGATGAACTCATATGAACAGGCCCGTGCAGGACTCCTCGTAATGTATGCATAATCGTTTGAGGTTTGGTCTATGCTCCAGTCTCTTTCAGTTTGAATTTAAAATGACAAAGAGAGCATTTAGCAGTGCAGTTTTAACATATTCCACTAATAATTTATGTTGGCTTCTTAACAAATGCAGTGACCAGGGCTTAAACATGTCTAAACTCAAACTCAAGTCAACAATCTGAACTAACTGGGCTAAGACAAACTGGGTAATCAAGTACTACACCAGGAAACAAGAGCTCAACTACTGGGTTTGTTCCGGTAAATGCAGTGACAAACCCAGGACTAAACAAGGACTTAATCAGAACTAAACCAAGATTGAACCAGGACTAAATACCAAGCTGAAACCTGGACTTAACCAGGTCTTCACTAAAATTAAACCAGGACTAAACCAAGATTAAACCATGAGTAAGAGTAATGAAGTACTACACCAGGAAACAAGAGCTGAACTCTACTGGCTTTGTTCCAGTAAATGCAGGGACTAAACCAGGACTAAACCAGGACTAAAATATGACTAAACCAGGACAAACCCAGTACTAAACCAGGGCTAAACCAGGACTAAACCAAGACTAAACCAGGACAAACCCAGTACTAAACCAGGGCTAAACCAGGACTAAACCAGGACTAAACCAGGACTAAACCAGTACTAAACCAGGGACTAAACCAACTAAACCAGACTAAACCAGGGCTAAACCAGTACTAAACCAGGACAAACCCAGTACTAAACCAGGGCTAAACCAGGACTAAACCAGGGCTAAAACAGGGCTAAACCAGTACTAAACCAGGGCTAAACCAGTACTAAACCAGTAGTAAACCAGGACTAAACCAGTACTAAACCAGGACAAACCCAGTACTAAACCAGGGCTAAAACAGGGCTAAACCAGTACTAAACCAGGACTAAACCAGGTCTAAACCAGGACTAAAACATGACTAAACCAGGACTAAACCCAAGACTAAACTAGGGCTAAACCAGGACTAAACCAGGGCTAAACCAGGACTAAACCAGCACTAAACCAGGACTAAAACAGGGCTAAACCAGTGCTAAACCAGTATTAAACCAGGACTAAAGCAGGACTAAACCAGGTCTAAACCAGGTCTAAACCAGGACTAAAACATGACTAAACCAGGACTAAACCAGGGCTAAACCAGGACTAACCAGGAACCAAAACAGGACTAAACTAATACTGTTTATTCCTGATTTGGTCCGGGTTTGGTCCCAGGACTCATCTAAATAATAATAAGAAAGTCTGAGGTTTAATAGTGAGAATGAAAACCATGCTTCATACTAAAACAGGCGTGGACTAAACCAGAACTAAACCAGGACTTACTCGGGACTAACTCAAGACTAAATCCTGACCAAACAAGTTTTATGGGTTTTTTTTTTTTTTTTGAACGCCTCTTAGTCGCAGGTATCAGATTGGCTCCTGTTCCGTTCTTGAACCTGAGGTTTAGAGAAAACAGAGGCACGTGTCAGCTCTGACTCACTGTCATCAGTCACAGGGTTTATCTTTACAAGTGCTCACGTCACTTTCCAAAACTCAGATAACAAACCCGGTAAAGATAATTAATGACGCATGGGTATTTTCTATGGAATAATCTTTAATGACCAAAACGAAACCAAACACTAAGGAGTTATTGATAATGCAATACAAGACCAACTATGAAATTGTTTTAAAATACATTCAAGAAAACAAATGTCAACTTTAAATAAATCAGTTATGTAACCCTTACTTCATGTTTATCTAATGCTAATAATTTGGTAATATGTTTTAACTATTTAACTGAAAAAATACTGTGTATACTGTAAGGTCAAGATGTAATTGTGGGTCTACCTCTTATAACAAACATACATTTCCCATTATTTTAAACATCATTTTTAAAGCTCAGACAGACCTACAGGTTGTAGTAATTAATTTTATTTTCAATTTAAAATTTTTCACATAATTTTAACTATGTGTATTAAGTCATAGTTTTCCATCAAGCAGTTTTATATTAATTAAAACAGCAATTTATTTTAATCATCTTAATATAGACAGTATAGATTAAAATACTTGTATAGCACATTTAAACTAATCTGAGTGTAAACTTGACACAGGGTCGTGCAAACTAAACATGATCTCGTGAGCTTTTTCCTCATGTTTTCACATTTGGATTGAAAAAGTACTGGCGATTTACAGTTTTTGAGACTGCATAGTCCCAAAAAGAACAGCTACAATGACAGCAGAAATATTAAATAAAGTAAATCAAAAATGGTGAAACTAAAATTGGGAAATGAATTGCACAATGTGTTTATTATAGCTTAAATAATGTTAAAAATTCATCTCGTAGATCCAATCTCGTGTCTCATCTCATCCTGTAGAAACTGTATCTCGTCTCAGCCCTATACGCTGTAGTAACTAACTTGTTATAATGAATTTAAATACTATATAATAACATTGTTATTTTCCATTTCTTTTCCAGGTTTCAAGAATCGACGAAGACAAAACAAAAAGAACTGTATCCAGCAATGAATGTTTTTATTTTATTTTTATTTTTAATTTTTTAACACAAACTATAGAGTTTGCATGTGTTTCGTTTTCCTGGTTGATGTCACTCCAGCTGATATGAGACTCTTTATCGCCTTTGTGCTTTTGGGCGTGGCACTGTTAAGTCACCAACAGTTTGATCACATGACTTCCATCCGAAAGGACTGGTTAAATATTAGCTCGGCGGGATGGGAGCGACCACGCCTGAACATACGGTTTAAGCCCATTGTTTTTCTGTGTCTTTTTTTTACAAACTTAACTTATTCCATGCAAAGTAGTGTTTTGAATGATGACTTAAGCATACACCTTATTGCTGTCTGTATAGTGGGAAGGTTAGAACAATGATGGAGATTTAACCCTCAACCTCCAACCCAACCTTGTGCATTTTCTAAACTGAAATAATAACGGCATAATGGTAAATACAGATAAATGTAAAAAATTTTAGTTTTTAAACTTCATTTTGTTTCCAATGAGACTTTTAAGCGCTGGAGCTCCCTCTACTGTCAAAAACGGGAACTAACATTTAGAAAGTAAACAATTGAACTCCTTCAGATAATAACGGCATAATGGAAAAGATAGATAGATAGATAAATAGATAGAGAGATAGTTTATTAATCTCGAAGGAAATTCAAAATGTGCTTTCCTAACTTCATTTTGTTTCCAATGAGACTTTTAAGCGCTGGAGCTCCCTCTAGTGTCAGCAACGGGAACTAACATTTAGAAAATAAACAATTGAAGTCTTTCAATTAATAATCGCATAATGAAGAAATATAGATAGATAGATAGATAGATAGATACTTTATTGATCTAGAAGGAAATTTAAAATGTACTTTCTAAACTTCATCTTGTTTCCAATGAGACTTTTAAGCGCTGGAGCTCCCTCTACTGTCAGCAACTAGAACTAACATTTAAAAAGTAAACAACTGAAATCCTTCAATTAATAACGGCATAATGGAAAAGATAGATAGACAGATATTTTATTAATCTCGAAGGAAATTCAAAATGTACTTTCTAAACTTCATCTTGTTTCCAATGAGACTTTTAAGCGCTGGAGCTCCCTCTACTGTCAGCAACTAGAACTAACATTTAGAAAGTAAACAATTGATGTCTTTATGCCTGAATGATATGCAAAAAAAAAAATCAATTTGTTGTGAGCTGAAATATAAATGTTATCACTTGATCAATCATCATAACAGTTGCTCGGTTGGTGGTTTGATTCCCGTTGCACTCCGTTGCTGTGTCCTTGGGCAAGACACTGCACACTCCTTGCCCCCAGTCTTGGATAATACACTAATAATAGACTTGAGTTTGTGGACGAACATGATTACGATTGTTGCGTTAAACTTACTCCAGTTCTAGGAATCCTGTACTTGCTTTTGGCACCTTTTATTTCAGCGAGCAGAGCGTGTACCTGTCCCCAAATCTTAAAAAGTGCTTTATTTTATTGTATGTAGCAATCAAAGGAAGGAACGAAAGAAATTCTGAGGTGAATAGTTGAGCCTTTATACCAGGACTGAATAGACTGCGTTCACATAATGGCATAACATCCTTGGGGAGACAAAACACACAAAATCTTTTCCTTTCTCATCATTTCTACTATAAAAATACATGTCTTATAGGTGCATTGCTTAACTTTTCTCGTGGGAGGTCCTCCAACTGCTTGTCTCTGTGTGGATGGAATTGCTTTAACTGAAGTGTTGCTCAGCATAGGCATTAAACTGACCTACCTTGCATTTATCAAATTATGAAAAATCGGTACCTAATGTGTGACTTGCCACCTGCGTATCTCCATGGGGATAGATCAGTTTAATGCAACATTGTGGAACATTACAAGCATCACCAAGGAGCAGAGGTGGGACCAAGTCGTTGTTTTGCAAATCTTCAAGTCTTTGACCTCAAGTCTGAATCAAGTCCCAAGTCAAATACAACCAAGTCCAAGTCGAGTCTTGAGTCACTGGTCCAGAAGTCTTAGTCAAGTCCAAGTCATCTGCTTTGAGCTTCAAGTCATTTCAAGTCTTTAAACCACAGTACCAAATATAGCTTAGATTTTTGCAATTTATATGAATTTTAAACTAAACTATTCTTTAAAAAAGTCATGGTATATTTATATATGAGTATTTATAGAGTATACAAGAGTTCTAGAAATTAATTTAGTTAATTTGTCCTTTTTAAATGTCTTGAGAAGATCTTAGTATGAATAATTACGGTCAGAACAGAAAGAATTCAGATTTAAAAGTGCTTCTCAAGTCTTCTCAAGTCACAGACCTCTAGTCTGAGTCAAGTCCCAAGTCAATGACCTTCAAGTTCAAGTCGAGTCCCAAGTCTTAGTCCATTTTATCAAGGCAAGTCTCAAGTCCTAAAAATAGTGACTCAAGTCTGACTCAAGTCCAAGTCATGACTTGCAAGTCCCCACCTCTGCAAAGGAGACAAGACTGTGACAAAAAAAAAATATCCCCCAGCAGAAAAGTTACAAGTTAACAATTCTCAATTTAAAGCCCATTTTGTACTTGTTACTTTAAATAAATATTACTCCAGTACAAAAATATTAAGTAAATGTGTAATAAAACTACTCTTAAAAATACAAAAAGTATCTTAAAGATGCATTGCTTAACTTTTCTGGTGGAGGGTCAGTTAAATACTTTTCTCCATGGAGATGTTATTCTTTTGTCTGTAATGTTTCACAGTATGCTATTAAACATTACTATCTTCATGGAGACCAAACCAGACCAAGTTACAAGTCAGATCTGTGGAGAGGCAACCCTTCTCACAGTCAGAATGCCTGTTGTTGTTTTTTAGGTATTTTTGAGCTATAAAACCAGCTGTAAATGAATAAATGTAATGTAGAGATGTTTAATGTCACACTGTGGAACATTCCAGGCAGAGCAATAACATATCCATAGTGCACCTTTAAGTAAATATATGCAAACTAATTTCAACTCTTTGACATTGAGCTGAAGTCTGCAGGCAGCAGGTGTGACCTAGAAGTACACGGGACAGGTAGAGGTGAGTGCTGGTTACCGTGGCGACAGGAAAAGTGATCAGGTGTGTTTTGGGGGCGGTGTCACCTTACCTGGGACCCTTAGAAACACAACAAGACGGCGTTGTACAGGCCGTGAATAATGCAGCGCGAGAAAGAGGCCCTCACTGTGTAAACCCGGACTATCAGCATGATCTGAAGCACTGAGGTGTGTTCAAATACTGGAAAAAAACTATGGAAAATGTGAATCCTTTGGACAACTTGACATGTAAATAAACTTTTGTAGTAAAGAAAGTAAATAAAAAGGATTAAACAAGTCACGTGTGTCCTTTGAATGTCTTTTTATATACAGTGTTCGAGCATCAAATTGTTTTTGTTGTCATCATTTAACCAGAAAAGTGTGATTTTTGTAAGAAATAAGATTAATATGGAAAATATGTTAACCCCTCCTTACAAATGATAAGTTTATTTGTTTGGATATGAAAATGTGAATTGTCCATAGATTTATACTGATAATTTGCAGTGACACAATGCACACAGCCAAAAAAGTTTTATTTTAAGATTGTCTGAAGTTTACAAAATAGATGTGAATGACACAGAAGCCTGTGATCAGTCTGGGAGTAAATGTCTCCCACAGATGAATGCTGTCATTGTATAAGCTGTTGTCGTTGTGTAAACTGTATGTGTTGTTCCTTGGGCAAGACACTTTACCCACTTCGCCCCCCAGTGTCTGTGCACACTGGTGTATGAATGTGTGTGTGCATGGGTGTGTGCATGGGTGAGTGGTTCCTTATTGTAAAACGCTTTAAGTGCCTTGAAGATGGAAAAACTCTTTACAAAAATATAACCATTTACCATGACCTTCAACTAAAAAGGTGAACGTGACTAACCCGTATCCATGGAGACGATCCAAGAGGCTAGGTAAAGAGCTAGCTATGGACATCTGAGATGGCTACAGGCATTTTGCACTACATGTGTCACCAAATGTGGCAGAGGACCTTCCAGAGGAAATACTTCCAGACCTTCCAGAGGAAACAATTTGAGGGAATGAACCACTTCATCAACAAAAGAAACACCAGAGCAGAGTAAGCGTGAGGCCTTTCCTGTTGTGTTCACGTGGCGCCCCCTGGAGGCTGCTGTGATGCAGAGGACTGTTCTTCCACAGGATCTGCTGACCCTCCCTGACCAGTCCTCCTGTTTAACTGCACTGAGTCCTGACTGAGACACAAAAGCCACTGAGGCGTGCAGTATAAAGTTGTAAGTTATGTGAGACTGCACAAATCTCACCATTCAAAAGATATAATATTTTCTTGTAACTAGTTAATCACAATGACAACTGTCCTAATTTCTAAAAAAATCATTTTAGGTGCCTTCTTGACTGCGTCCATATTTGTATAATTTGTATAAAGTAAAACGAGTCGTTTTGATTTGCACTCTGGCAGGAAAATATTGTGTAAAATGATCATGCTTTTGCTCAGCTCTACTCCCAGGAAGTGCTAACCTCAAAACCACAACTCACTGACACACGCTAACAGGAAACACACAACACAACAGCATTTGATCTCTAAACGTTTCTCAACAATTCTAACCTACAACTCTATTATCATTTTGTATCATATAAACGTATGTTTGCAAGAGGGGGACTACAGTGCCATCTAGTGCAGCAGAACTCCCAGCTATCAATAACACCAACACAGAGTTTAAAAAAAAGAAGTATGTTTAATAATATTGTTGTATAATAAAGATTTTAAATATATACAGAAAATAACTTAAATACAGTAACATGATGAGGTACATAGACATGGTGAAATGTTGTTTAAGCAATAAAATAAAGCAGGTTTTGTACAGGCAAACACAGTACAAGGCTGATGTGAAAAGACGCAATATTTGAAGTTTTATTTGATGAGGAAGAGGCTGGATGCAGTTTCAGGGCAAAACAACGGACAGACAGCAGTCTCCAAAAAGTACAGCTTTCCCAGTCTGCAATATCTGTGTTCAGTCCTGGTTAGTCCTGGTTTAGTCCTGGTTCTGCTTGGGTTAGACCTGGATTAGACCTGATTTAGACCTGGGTTAGAAATAATAGAGGTTAGTCCTGTTTTAGTCCTTGTTTAGTTTGCTGGTAGACATGGTTTAGTCCTAGTTTAGTTTTGGTTTAGACCCGAATTAGTCCTTGGTTAGATCTGGTTCAGTCCTGAGTTAGTCCTGGTTTAGTTCTGCTTGGGTTAGACCTGGATTAGACCCGGTTCAGTCCTGAGTTAGTCTTAGATTAGACCTTGTTTTGTCCTGATCTAGACTTGGTTTAGGTCTGGTTTGTACAGCTCGTGAGGGGTTTTCCCATATCTGCAGTAGCATCTAGTTGTGGTACTTTAGACCTAAACCTAACCCTGTTTCAGACCTGGTTTAGTCCTTTGTTAGACCTGCTTTAGGCTTGGTTTAGATCTGGTTTAGTCCTGGATTAGACCTGGTTTATTTCTTAATTTTTAGTCTTGTTTTAGCTTTGAGTTAGACCTGGTTTAGTCCTGGGTTAGTCCTATTTTAGTCCTGAGTTAGGTCTAACTTATTCCTAGGCTAGGTGTAGTTTAGTCTTGGTTTTGACCTATTTTAGTATTGGTTTAGTCCTGTTTAAGCTTTGAGTTAGGTCTGGTTTATTCTTGAGTTAGTCCTGGTTTAGCCCTGGTTGAGTCCTTCATTAGACCTGATTTAGTCCTGGTTCAGACCTGGTTTAGTCCTTTGTTAGACCTGCTTTAGGTCTGGTTTACACCTGGTTTAATCCAGGATTAGACCTGGTTTATTTCTGATTTATTCCTGTTTAAACTTTGAGTTAGGTTTGGTTTATCCTTGGGTTTGTCCTGGTTTAGTCCTGTTTGAGTCCTTTGTTAGACCTGGTTTAGTCCTGGTTCAGTCCTGGGTTAGTCCTGTTTTAGTCCTGAGTTAGATCTAGTTTATTCCTAGGTTAAGTCTAGTTTAGTCCTGGTTTAGACCTATTTTAGTTCTGGTATAGTTCTGGTTTAGTCCTGGTTTAGCCCTGGTTGAGTCCTTTGTTAGACCTGGTTTAGTCCTGGGATAGTCCTCCTGAGTTAGCTCTAGTTTATTCCTAGGTTAGGTCTAGTTTAGTCCAGGTCTAGACCTATGTAAGTCCTGGTTTAGTCCTGTTTCTGCACAGTTCGGCAGTAATCAACAACAAAATTTACAATATGAGTTCCTGTGATTTGAAAAAGCAAAAATAAAACATCTTATTGGAGTGACAGCCAAACACAGGAGAGCATATGAAATGGTCGGGAGTGAAAAGTGCATACTGTATAATTATCTTGACACTTGAGGCTTATATAAAGAGTCATTCAGCTTGTCATTTAAATCTGCGCGTGGGGAGGTGGAAATAGACTCCATAAGCTCTCCTCAAGATGGCGTGTGGTTGATGACTTTTCTTTTCCGAATTGAGACCATGTCATAAAATGGGTCCTTGGTGATGCTGGCCCTGTGAAGAAAACAAAGAAATCACATTCATTTTGATTTCAAATTCCATAAACTTGATCAAAATGTGACCCCAGATACAACTGAAATCAAATATAACTTTTATTGATAACAAATGTAATGTTCATTTATTTGTAGTAACAGTGGAAAAGATCACCAAGACGCTTATGTTTTAATTTGGAGTTTCAGAAAAAAGAAAGTCTCTCATTTGGGTTGCCAGTTTCGATGCTGAAAAATCCAGCTGATTTAAACTCTCTCTGATCTGAGCGGTCAGTCCCTAAACCCCAGCTCCTGCAGCCAGTCGTGAATCAGTGCTAGTGGAACCTCTGCAGCTCAAGTTGATTGAGAAGAACTTGTACGTGTCCTCAAACTGCAGGTTAAGGTGCTGGAGACTCCTGGGTTAGAAATAGTATTGGGTTAGTCCTGTTTCAGTTTTGTTTAGTAGACCTGGTAGACATGATTTAGTCCTGGGGGGTATTACATCAAAGTGGTTTAACAAATCCAGGTTTATCCTGAAATCTGAATTATAACTGAATCTAGCTCCATTTTAAGCTTAAGCCTCAAGTCGTCCCATGACGGAAATAAGGCTGGATCAAACCAAAGCTAACTCAGACCAGAAGTTTAAGAAGTTTAAGATGCGCTTTGTGTGTGCTCGCGTTGACTCTGAGATGGCCAGATCAATGGAGCAACAACATCTGGGAAAATGGGCCAGAAATTTGATGTTTTTTATGATCCAACTAAATGAGAGAGGAGCCACTGTGCGCACAAGTACAGTTTGATTTAGGCCAAGGAACTTTTGCAGTCATTCTGATCAGAGGAGCGAGAGGAAAAACATGACTCCCCCTTCTCTCCCGGTCGCTCCCCCTCCTCTCCTGGTCACTCCGCGGGTAGAGAAGAGGCTGGCTGTGTAGATGCCGGGAATTAAGATGTCTGACCCCTTCACATGTCGCTTGCGTAGGAGCGTTTGGACTGTAAAAGTCTGAAGCGACACTTTAAACTGTATCACACACAGACAGGTGTTCTAACACAGGTGTGTGATGTGTGTACTGAAAATTTGTACTAAACTGTTTTTTTTAGACGTTCTTGGAGACAGAGCTAAAATAATCTTGACCTAGTTTGTTTCTGGGTGCTTGTTACTGGGGCAGCTCAGCATCTCCTCTAGTTAGTCACTTTGGTAAAACGAAACTGAGGCTTTGACAAACCTGGATTGCCCAAATAAGCCAGGCTTTCGCTTTAGCTCGCTTCATGGAATACCCCCCTGATTTAATTCTCCAGGGCTTTAATTTGTTTAAATTCTGAGTTAGTCCTGGTTTAGTTTGGGTTCAGTCCTACTTTAGACCCAATTTAGTCCTTGGTAAGATCTGGTTAGACCTGGTTTAGTTCTGCTTGTGTTAGACCTGGATTAGACCTGATTTAGTCCTGGATTAGAAATAGTAGTGGGTTAGTCCTGTTTTAGTCCTTGTTTAGTTAGGCCTGGTAGAAATAGTTTAGTCCTGGGTTAATTCTCCAGGGCTTAGATTTGCATAAATTCTGACTTAGTCTCGTTTTAGTTTTGGTTCAGTTCTAGGTTAGTCCCGATTTAATCTTTGGTCGTATCTGTTTAGACCTGGTTTAATTCTCTGGGGCTTAGATTTGCTTAAATTTTGAGTTTGTCCAGGTTTAGTTTTGGTACAGTCCTAGGTTAGTCCTTGTTTGGAACTGGAAACTCAAGTTCAGTTTTTGTGCAGACTACATACAGTTCCTTTAAATGACACATAATGAGCCACTTTTGTCTGCTTTTTGCTATATATAATCATAATGTGTTATATTTCGGACATTTTAATATTTCATAATACTGAAACTAAACTAAACTATAAAACTACTTATTCAAAAAGTTTGCTCACTTTCTGAAAACTGCAGTATCATCACAATAAAGTACTGTGCTGCTGCCAGTCAAAGCTAACAGCCCCTCCTGCGGTTTACAGTTCACACTTGTGAGCAGGGAGTTTTAGTTCATTTGTGCTAAAATAGAGACTGAACTCTGACCACTGCTGAATCCTGCCTCCCCGACGAAGAAATAAATTAGAAACTAAGTACAGAGCAGTGGGCATGTATGGGGGTAAGGGGAAACTGAAATTTTCAGAGCAATGGCATCTTGACAGCAGAAGGATAAACATTAAATACTCAAATATGCATAAATCAATCTAAATAAATGTGAAGAAGCTTTTGAAAGTCTATTTTTCATAATGTGTCCTCTTTAATAATAATACTTTGCTATTTTACATTATATATTGTCCTGAATAAATTGTCTACAGTATAAAGTTGTAAATGTCATGAGCATTAAGTGTATTTTACGGTACAGCTCACAAAGTAATTACAATAAAAGATCCTATATGACGCAAAATTGACTCTTGTGAGTTTTTAGTCATGTTATAATGTTGTTATCGCTTCAAAAACATACCTGGAGTTGTGTTTTGTTTCATTCACACATATTTGAGTAATCCTTTATTATGAGTCTTTCTACATCTTTAAAGCTTAAATTCTCTATTCCACCTTGTGATGTCATGAAATGGTAGTTTTCAGATGAACAGCTCCTTTTATCTTTAGTTCAGTATAGAGACTGACTGCTCACTAACGGTCTTCCTCAGAGTGGTCACATGATGTTACTGTGACATGTCCAGTCACCGGTCACTCTGAGGAAGTCCGTTAGTGTGCAGTCAAAACTGTCAGATATGAAAACAAAACTATTGGTCTGAAAAAATAATCTAATAACATAAAATATCAAAAGACTAAAAGGAACCTCACTGGACTATGTGCATGAGATTAGACCAAATCCACAAATTTAGGCTGCTTAAAATGTTTTTTTTAATGCCAAATAAAACATCCAGCACAAATTATGTACAAAAGGCATACATGAATCATTTGTATATTTTACTTTACACTCATATTTAGTTGCGGGACTGCAGTTTATCATCCCACCCGCCCGCTCCCGCATTGAGCGTTCAAAATGTGTCCTGCGCCGCACTGTTTTACGTCGGGTTCCGTGGGAGTGCAGGGCTCTAGTATGGAGTTTAAAAACACAGTGGAGCACTTCCTGTATTACCACATGGCATCACAAATTGGAACAGTGTTTTCTGTTTAAAAGAAGAACTCAGAAGCCTAAAAATGCAGGGTTTGTGTGTTAAACATGTGTGAGACTTCAGGTGTGTTTGTGATGAGGAAACAACATTATAACAAAGATCAGAAAATAGTAAAGTAAAGTAAAGTAAAGAAAAAATAAATACATAAATGAATAAATTGTAAAAGGAAAGTGGCTGTTTTAAAATGATTCTGTTTTGGAAGCCTTTTCTGATTTTAGAATGTTAATTTTATTTAATTTGTTTGAGCATTTTTGTCTAGTTTTACCATAATTATGTTTTAAAAAGGCAAAATTAGCTTCCAGACAGTGAATCATCAGTGAACATGAGCTGCTATGCTAATCTCATTCAGGGTTGTTATGTAACGAGATGGGCCTGATATTCAAATGTGTGTGAATGCAGAATATTTGGACAAACTCATTTAAAGAACTAAGAATAAGAATTTGTCTGTTTCTTTATTAAGTGGAGTTTAATTATGCACAAAAAGAACAACATGTGAAACCATCAGAAAGAGCTTAAATATAAAGGTGCACTATGTAACTTTTCTGGTGGGAGGTCTGCAATCTGCTTGTCTCCATGGTGATGTTATTGCTTTGTATGGAATGTTCCACAGAATGGCATTAAGCGTATCTATCCTGCATTTATTAAAGTGGAGGTGTTTTATGCATGGTAAAAATGCACTAAAAAACTGCATTCTTACTCTGTACGGGCTTGCCTCTCCTCAGATCTGACCTGTAACCCATCACCTTCTTGTTTCTATCTGTAACCAGGTGGTCACAGGGAATAGATTTTCCTACTGCAATGTGTCCTCGAATGCATCTGTGGCTCTAGTGACTAGAAATAGATGTGCACACCTCAGTGTCATTGTCGGAGCTTTCAGCTTGTAGCTGTACATAGCACATGGTAAATGGTCACATTTTTCTATAGCGCTTTTCCACCTTCAAGGCACTCAAAGCACTTTACAACAAGGAACCACTTACCCATTCACACACACATTCACACACCAGTGTACGCAGACACTGTGGGCAAGGTGGGTTAAGTGTCTTCATCTGTGGGAGCTGGAATCACACCAGCCAACCTGTGGGTCAGTGGATCTGACCACTCAACCTGTGATGTTTATGTTGAGAGCTGGGTTCGAACCGCCAACCTTTTAGATCAGTGGGCGAATGCTCTACCAACTGAGCTACTGCCACATGGCACATTTAAGCAGGGAAGCTGTTTTCCTGAGAATGTCTGCTGTTAAAAATCTGCCCTAATGTGTTTGTGGAAACTGGATTCAAGCTGCTGTGTAGAGTTGGTGGTGATGGCGGCCGCTCCTAACGCGCTCCCAGCCCCATGTAGAGTGCTCCTCCTTCTCTTTTCTAAATTCTAGGTACAATCGTTCCTCACTATATCGCAGTTCACCTTTCACGGCCTCGCTGTTTCGTGGATTTTTTGTGTGCAATTCTGCATGCCTTATTTTTACACCGTATGAACACACATTGTGTTCCTCCTCCTGACTGGCTAAGGTTGGTAGACCATTGTTAATCAATCTCTTAATCTGTCTCCTTGTACAGTACAGAATGCATTCAGCCAAACTTACATAAATGTTGGATCTCTAGCAGTGTGATTCTGAAGTGCTGTATGTTTGCAAGTTTTCTCCCTGACAAACTCACAATACTGACGGAATGTTCTGCACCAGAAAAGGCTCCTGCAGTCGCACCCAAAAGGCAGAGGAAGATGCTAACCATCGCACAAAAAGTTGGACTTCTGGACACGCTGAAGGAAGGGAGAAGTTACATGGCTGTGGGGCGCCATTACAGAATAAATAAACTAAATAAGTTTTAAGAAGGACGCAAAAAGGGTTGTAACTGTCCTGTCTGAGAAAAGTGTATCAAGTGTGTGATGAGGGGTTTTACAGCCTTTAAACATATATACTAATTGTAAAAAATAAAGCTGAGTACTTTGCGCGTTTCGCCTATTGTGGCTTATTTTTAGAACATAATCTCCACGATAAACAAGGGACCACTGTAAAGGCCTTTTTGTTGTGTACCTGGGGTGGTAATTGTTAATGGCCTACCTGAAGTTAATCTGTTGTTCACTGTGTAACAGATTGACACTTGATTCTTTGCTTCTTTATTCTTATTCCTAGTGTTGTTTTTTATTTGATGAATGTTGTGGGACAGTAGCTGAGGTCTTGTAGGGAAGTGCAATAAATGGTCTAGTTTGATTTCCATAAAGACAGACAGGTTTAATACCACACTGTGAAACATTCCAGACAAAGCAATAACATCTCCATGGAGAAAAGCATTTGATGGACCCTCCACCAGAAAAGTTACACAATGCATCTTTAAACTATGGGGATCTAGTTACCGCATGAACACAACCTATTCAAGACTGTGTGAATTCTAAAGAGTTTTATTTTCACAATTTTGATGATTTCTGACCTGATGGCGGTGACCCAGGCCTCTCGCTCCTCTGCGCTGGAGGCACTGAGTTTGTAGGACTGATGTTTGCCCTGGACCACCCGGCCTCTGTGCTCCGTCTTACACGCCTTCACCTTCTGAGCTTTGGGGCTGAACAACTCCAGACAAAACTGTGAAAATAAACACAAGAAAATGAAGATAACAGAGGTAGAATTCTCTCCTGTCCAGACAGTCCCTTCTACGTCCTGATCAAATCTATAAAAGACTAGAAGCGGAGCATAGAGCATGAAAAAACTGTCCAAATTTTAGATGATACGACCACAGCCGCTAATTAGTCACATGTCCCTCCTCTGGAAAGTTCTGGTAACATTCAGAGCAAAATATATAACTTCTTTAACCAGAAATAAGTAAAAGTTTGTTGCTCTATTGCTGATTCTGTAAAAATCTGCACTGTTTCTCAGTTCTTTATGTGCACTTTTCTTCTTTTTTTATGTGTAAGCAGCCATGTTTGTTGTTGACGTGACTGGCATGCGTCTCTCTGATTGGTTAATCTGCCTGTCAATCAAAGAGACATGATACACCTCCAGATCCACGCATCTTTGTGAAGTTTTTTTCAAAGTGTGGTTCTGACTGGACAGGTAAGTAAGATTCAGCAGTAGTTTACATAAAAAATATTTTAGAGCAGTCTGAGTCTTCATGGATTTTACGTTAAGGTCAAAATCATAGACTGTATAACAAGTGAGTCAAGTGAAAATTGCTGTTGTGTCCTTAGGCAAGACACTTCACCAATATTGCCTAGTAGAAATGTGGTGTGTGTCAGGGGAATGTCAGTTTGAACAGGTGAGTTTTTATCTGTGATAAGAAGTTCTGGACTAAACCAGGACTACACCAAGACTAGACCAGGACAAAATCAGGACTAAGCCAGTACTAGGTCAGGACTAAATCAAGACTAAGTCAGGATTATACCAGGACTAAATCAGGACTACCCCAGGACTAGACCAGGACAAAATCAGGATTAAGCCAGGACTAGACCAGGACTAAATCAAGCCTAGACTAGGACTAGACCAGTACTAAATCAAGCCTAGACTAGGACTAGACCAGTACTAAAACAAGGTCTAAACCTTGGCTAAGCCAGGACTAGACTAGAAATAGACCAGGACTAAACCAGGACTACATCAGGACTAGATCAAGACAAAATCAGGACTAAGCCAGGAAGAGATCAGCACTAAATCAGGACTAGACTAGTATTGGACCAGTACTAAAACAAGGTCTAAACTACTGCTAAACCAGGACTAAACCAGAACTACACCAGTACTACACCAGGACTACCCCAGGACTAAACCAAGACCACCAGGACTAGACCAGGACAAAATCAGGACTAAGCCAAGACTATACCAGGACTAAATCAGGCCTAGACCAGGACTAGACCAGTACTAAAACAAGGTCTAAACCACGGCTAAACCAGAACTAGACCAGAACTATACCAGGACTAAACCAGGACTCTAACAGGACAAAATAGTTCTGTAATGAGTTCCTGGTGGGAGTTCTTTGTCCGGGCGGGTGGAGTGAGGAGATTGGTGTTGATGGAGGAGACAGAGGAGCAGACACAGAGCGCGGCAGGTAATAGAGGAGCTGATACTGGATGTGGTTTGGAACAGGGACCCAGCAGAGTTGTGTAATGGCATATAAGTCCAGGACTAGACCAGGACTAAACCAGAACTACACTAGGACTTCACCAGAGCTATATCAGGGTTACACCAGGACTAAACCAGGACTACACCAGGGCTACACCAAGACTACACCAGGACTACACCAGGGCTAGACCAGTACTACAACAGAACTAAACCAGGACTACACAAGTGCTACACCAAGACTGCACAAGAACTACACCAGGACAAGACCAAAACTACACCAGGACCAGACCAGAACTAAACCAGGACTACACCAGAGCTACATCAGGACTACACCAGGACTACACCAGAACTAAACCAGGACTACACCAGAGCTACATCAGGACTACACCAGGACTACACCAAAACTACACCAGGACTACACCAGGGCTACATCAGGACTACACCAGGACTACACCAGAACTAAACCAGGACTACACCAGGCTACAACAGGACTAAACCAGGACTACACCAGGGCTACATCAGGACTACACCAGGACTACACCAGAACTAAACCAGGACTACACTAGTTCTACACCAAAACTGCACCAGGACTAGACCAAGACTAAATTAGGACTACATGAGTACTACACCAAGACCAGGACCAGACCAGGACCAGACCAGGACCAGACTAGGACCAGACTAGGACCAGACCAGGACTGCACCAGAACTAAACCAGGACTAAACCAGCATTAAACCAAGACTAGACCCAAACCAGGCCAGAACTAGTCCAGGACTAGACCCAAACTAAACCAAGACTAAAGCAGGACTAGACAGGAACCAGACAAAGACTAAACCAGGATTAGACCAGAACTATACTAGGTCTTGTAGATGATGAGGAGTAACTTGTATTGAATGTGGTTTTGTTCAGGAACCCAGCAGAGTTACATAATGACATATACAAGTCCTGAACTAAACCAAGACTAAACCAGGACTAGACCAGGACTAAACCAGGCCTTGTAGTTGATGAAGAGGACCTTGTATTGAATGTGGTTTTATACAGGCGCCCAGCACAGTTACATAATGACATATGTGAGTGTTTACCGGTTTACTGGAGTCCTGCAGCTCTCGCACACACAGGTTTTCCAATGGGATGATCCCGATGGGGTCTTTGTCCTGGAGGAAGAGGAAAACAGACATGTACTGTGTGAATTCAACGATAAATAATCCATGAAACTGTCTTTTGAGATTCGCATGAGAAAATAAAAAGAGTTGGATTAGAACAGCCAAAAAAGCAAGTCTATAGAGAACAAAATGAGCTGGAGTGAGGTGATTGTAAACGCGTATTTGTACGTTATATCTGTTCAAATCTTCTTACGGTTGTGTATTTGAAGTAGTACAAGCAGCTGTCTGTCAAAATGAACCATCGCCGTTTCCATGTTTTTACTCTTCCTCCTGAAAAAAGAAGAAAAAGAAGAGAAAGAAGAAAACATGAGAGGTTCTGATATGACTTGTCAGTGTAAGATATTGTGTAGAGGGGTGTCAGGATGATTGAGTTAATCAATAAATGTGATTAATCAAGTTACAATAAAACAAAATAAAAAAATGACTATTTTAATGTTTAATGTTTATATTATAGTTACTTTACTATACTATTTTATATGATTTCCTTTATTTTAAGACATGTTTGAATGATGTTACCTCCTCAAAAACACACCTCAAGTAGTGTTTTGTTTCATTCATTGAGTAAATCTTTATTATTAGTTTATCTACATCTACAAAGCTCAAAATGCTTTGTTCCACATTGTGATGTCATGAAGCAGTAGTTTGTTTTTTTCTTGTTTGTTTGTTTTTTCAGTTAACAGCTACCTTTTACCTTTTGTTGAGTGGAGATTGGCAATTCCAGTGCTTAAATTATCCAAATTATTCCAGACAAGGTGTATGGAGTTTAAAAACACAATGGAGTACTTCCTGTATTGCTGGGTTTTAGATGACATCACAGCATTCTAAAGGCCAATATTATTTAATATTTAATTAAATTTAACATAGCAAGTCAATAGGTTTTAAAAGTCCTGGTAGAAACAATTATATTAAGGATTTGTGAATAAACTTTTTAGATATTTCATGATAAAGTACAATGTAATTAACGGGAAAAACTGCCCCTGTGACATCATCACATTCCAGATTCTGAAACCCATTTTCAGTCTGAGAGAAAGAATTCAGCCTAAATATACAAGGTCTGTGTGTTAAACCTGTGTGAATAAAAAAAAAAAAAAAGCACACAAACAACTCTAGGTTTAAAAGCACAAAGGAAGTGAGAGCTTCAGCGTATCTTCGTAGAAGTTCACATCTGGTGCTCCTCAAGGACGAGGCTCGAAAGCTGACAGACAGTGAAGGGAACAAAGGTGACTAACACGTCACGTGTGTCGAAACACGTGTTGGCTTGTCCCACGTAACCATTAAAGCACTTCTACTATTCTATTCTATTTCCAACAGAATGCCTTGGACTTTTGGACCACTTTTTACTTTATCACAGTAAGTTTTTACATTACAAGCTTGGTCACAATCTGTGTATCATTCGTTCATTCGTTTTTCAATATAAAACCAAAAATAATAAAATGAAAAAACATCTATTTTCCAGTCTCAATAACGGTCTGGTCCTGGTTTAAGTCCCGGTCTGGTCCCGGACCTGGTTTAGTGACGGTTTAGTCCTGGTTCTGTCCAGCATCACAGTCACGGAAGTCAAGGAAACGGAAAACGGTCATTATCTGTTTTTTCCATTATTCGTTTAAACACAAAATCGAAAAACTGAAAAAAAACCCAAAAAAAACAAATTACGTTATCTGTTTTTTCATTTTGGTTTTGGAAACAAATAATGAAGAAAATAGTTGTTTGTTGTTTTTTCATTTTCTTGGTTTTATATTGAAAATACGAATGAACGAATGATACACGGATTGGTCACTTTCACTATCTGACAACACCAGGTCTGTTTGTGAAGAGGAAACATTATAACATAGATCAGAAAATAGCATCATATGGGCCCTTTAAAGCTGGTCACTGACATTGGAACTAATGTATCGCCTATCTTTAGTGTGAATGAAAGATTTCACAGTTTTCCTGATGTCAACACTTGTGAATAATGATAAAACTGTGATGCTGTAAAAATGTACATTGTGACACTTTTAGTTTTGTATTAATTGTACTGTACCGATCTTGAGCAGCCAGCCTTCTCTGTCGGGGTTAAAAAAGGTCAACGTGAGGTCATTCCCATCATCCTCTGGAATTTTGAATGGCTCACTACGGATGCTCGCGTACAACTTCTACAAACACAAACACAAACAGAAGCATTAAAAAGGTGTATCGTGTAACTTTTCTGATGGAGGGTCAGTCAAATGCTGTTTACCATGGAGATGTTCTTGCTTTGTCTGGAATGTTTCTCAGTATGACAATAAACTTTTCTATCTTCATGGAGACCAAACCAGACCAAGTTACAGGTCAGATCTGTGGAGAGGCAATCCCGCTCACAGCCAGAATGTTTGTTTTTCTAGGTATTTTTGAGCTATAAAACCACCTGTAATTGAAGAAATGTAACATAGAGCTGTATAATGTCATACTGTGGAACATTCCAGGAAGAGCAATGACATCTCCATAGAAACAAGCATGTGACAGACTCAACCAAAAAGTTACAAAGTGTATCTTTAAAGGAACAATATGTAGCTTTCTGGAATCACCTGCATGATTCCATGGAAGAATAAAGTTAAAGCCATACTTTGGAACTTTTTCCATGGCTAGAAATAGATACGTTTTAAGCCATACTGTAGAATATTATGGTCAAAGGACAAATGTATCCATGGAAACAAGCAGGAACAAGCAAGAGTGTGCTCACAATAAGGATGCATGTTTTTCTATCCTTTTCACTCCAATAAAAACTGGAAAAAAGCTGCATACAGTGGCTTTAAAATGACATAATACAACTTCCAATATATAGAAGAACGCAAATGCTTGATCCCCAGCTCACTCTGTCTTTGTGTCCTTGGGCAAAATACTTCACCCAGTTTTTATAAATGCATGTGTGGTAAATCTGAAGTGGATGGTTTAGAATAATTCGCTATAGCAGCTGGGTCCTTCGCTTTGTGAGTGGATAGAACATCTAATTATGAAGGATGTAAAAATGCATGCTTTTATATGTTCTTATCACATGACAATGGGAGGTTTCATTGAGAGCTCTCACACACAATAGGTCATAAGGATGCATGTGCTTGTACTGAACAATCAGACTCGTACAGACTGGGTACTGCACTGTTACGCTTATATACAGAGTGCAGGATCCAGGAATTTCTTCAATAGTCTTTGGATTGAATTGTGTTCTAGTACCCCTCTCTCTCTTTGTCCAAGAACATTTGTTATGTAAGAATGCAAGATTGTACTCAGTAAAAAACTTTTTACCAAATAAAAAATGTTTCTTTGGCTATAATATTCCACAGTATGGCTTCTATCTCCCTGGCGAATGTAAAACTGACTGATCTGTTTGTTACTCTGAAGTGAGTTCTGCACATTTTCAATCATGGGATGACTAAGTAGGAAAAAGCACAGCGTCTTAACAATTATAAGAATTTGATTGGAAAAACAGTAGAACAACCCAAAAAAATCACATTATTGTCACGTTCAGATGAGAGAAAAGTGCATCTTCCCTGTCCACATGTACACAAAGCGTTTACCTTCGACATGTTTTTCACAAACTAAGGCTACATTTATATGATGACGGTCTGAAGTGGCGTTGCGGCTTCACTTTTTATTCCATGTTTCAGATGAGTGTTTTCGTGAGGAAATCTGCGTGCATACGGTGATGCCAGGTGGTGATGTATGTGACGTAAACGCGTGCGTGACGTGAGCAGATCTGAGCAATAGACTGTATAAAAGAAGTGGAGAAGAAGAAGGAGTGTGACGTCACCCATAGCATTCAGCACCCCTCAAACGAAGCTCGCGATGCTCACAGTTACAGGAGTCAATGTGGAGCAAGACTCTATGTTATGAATAGGATTTTTTTGATGGACAAAATAGCGAAAGAAAAAAATTCAGGATCACGTGTTGCGGGTTAATACGAACATTTTATGACGAGGCTCACTGCAGCAGTTAAAGGGAGCGGGGCCACAAGATCCTAATGTAAGTCAAATGGAGCCAGGGTCAGAAGGAGCCGGAAGAGCCTCATGGCGAAATTCCTATTTGGTATGGTTTTGCGTCTTGGGCAGTGTAGACGGAAACGCTTCGACGGAGCGTATTCAGCTTTTCCACTCTGAAAGGTGGTTTCAGATTTTTGTGTTTTTAACCCTCTCCAGGCAGGCGTTGCAGATTTGCAACAGCTAAATTCCAAGTACCTACTTACTCCACATCCATATTATCTGAGCTTTTTTTACTCAGGAGCCTTTTCTCCCATCCATGCTGATAAACGTGGGCGATGCAGACTGTGCAAGAATGGTTACACGCAAACGGCCTGCCAGAATTGCAAAATACTTTTTTTGTTTACAAAGGATAAAAAAGTCAGAATTGTATATTACTACCCCATATTATAATTTTCCCCAAATATCAGATTTTTCCTGATACTAAAAATTAATTTGAGCCTGAGAGGGTTAAGCCCCCAAAACACTGTTACGGTCTAAACAAAAGGCACTTACGATAAAATATTTAGGTTTTTTTACCCGCAAGCGTTCTTGTGTAAACAGGCCCTGAATAAAGTCTGTATTGACGCTAAAATAGGGTGAAGTACGTCTGTGGGCGTTGCTATGTTTGTTTTGGTTCGTGGCTTAGGTGCTTTGTCTTTCACTTCAAGACAAACCTCAGTGCTGCGACATGATTGGTCCACTCATCCAATTAACCGTACAATGGGCACCAAGAATATCACGAAAAATCTGTGACACTTGTAGGATTTGGGAGCATCATGTTGGTACAAATGAAAAAAATCTGCCCCTCGCTAGTGCAGGCAAAGCAACAGTATCATGGAGACGAGCGAGTGGCAGACCCCCACCCCATAAAAGTTATAGTGCTGCTTTAACCCATGTAATTAATTATAAATATGTCAACAAAGCACGGACGCAGAGTTGCAGCTGTTGCCTGAAGGTAATTTATTCTTGTGTCTCAGGGGTCTTGTATAATGTGAATATGGGAGTGTGGGAGTGTGGGAGTGTGACGGGACTGAGAGGGGGTCTATGGGGAAATCAATCAAGACTCAAAGATATACGAATAAATCAGAACTAAACCAGGACTAAGGCTCAGTATATAGGACTAGGACAAAAAGGGACTAAACTAAGACTAAACCAGAACTAAACCACAGCTAAACAGGCTGAAACTAAGAAAACAGGAGTGAATAAGACCAGATCAGGACTATACCAGGACTAAACCAAATATAGGCTACAACTAAACCAAAACTAGAAATGGACTAAATCAGGACTAAAACAGGACTAAACCCAGATTAAGCCAGGGTGAAACCAGAACTAAAACAAGACTAAAACAAGACTACACCAGAACTAAAGAAGGACTAAAGCAGGCATAAAACAGGACAAGACCAGGACTAAACCAGGACTAAATCAGGGCTAAATCAGGACAACAGCAGGACTAAACCAGACCTAAACCAGGACGAAACCAGACCTAAACTAGGATTAAACCAGGACAAAACCAGGACTAAACCAGGACTGAACCAGACCTAAACTAGGACTAAACCAGGACTAAACCAGGACAAAACCAGGACTAAACCAGGACTAAACCAGGATAACACCAGGACTAAACCAGACCTAAACCAGGACGAAATCAGACCTAAACTAGGACTAAACCAGGACTAAACAAGACCTAAACTAGGACTAAACCAGGACTAAACCAGACCTAAACTAGGACTAAACCAGGACTAAACCAGACCACAAACTACGACTAAACCAGGACAGCACCAGGACTAAATTAGAACTAAACTGGAACTAAACCAAGTCTAAACCAGGACTGACCGAGAGCAGGGCGGTGGGCAGGTCCTCTCCGTGGTTGATGCCTCTGTTCATGGAGATGAAGTACTGCAGACTGGGTTTGTCTCGGACGCTGGGGTTGTGGAGGCTGGTGTTGAGCATGATGATGGAGAAGGACAAGATGTAACACGTATCTACAAAAACACACACACATAATATTTGACATGTCATCATACGTACTTCAGTATACACAGAGGTGAGTAGTACGATTACTCCTGGACATCTCATTTTTGTGTCTGTCCTTTGTAAATACCAAATTCTGTGCATTGTTTAATCTTTTGTCCTTCCAGTTACATTAACTTCAAATTATAAATCAGATGTTACGTCGTGATGGTTACTCTTTAAGTTACTCTTTTCTTTTCTCTTTTCCCTTTCACACTTCACTAAGACACTTTAAAACACCACATTTTTAATAGCACACAGCACTTTAAACATATTTGCACATATTACAGAAAGACATTGCACACAATTGGTTTTAAAATGTATTTATTGTCTTTCCTTTTACCACTTTTAATCCCGAGGCACACTAGCACTTTAATTGAAAGCTGCTGGTCCTTGGAGGAAAAAGAGACAGAATTAAATTACCTTTTAAATTGAGTTAGTCCAATATATATGGGGCAGTATATCGGTTTTGAAATGTTTTAAGTGTTGATGTGTGTGGTAGTGGGTTTTATGGTGTTTTAATGAATGGTGTCTGTCTGCTTTTTATTTACCTCCTTTTATTATCTGTCCAGGTCCCAAAAGATTCCCCCTGGAAACGAGGTCCCACTTTTTAGGTTCCGTGCAAGACCAAGTGTATTATATTGTAAAGGGGTAGTAGGCGGTGTTGGGGAGTAACAGATTACATGTACTGGCGTTACGTAATCAGAGTACAAATTATGAGTAACTGTACTGAGTTACAGTTACTGTTTCAGTGAATGGTAATTGGATTACAGTTACTTGTTGAAATAAATGGATTACATATTCGGTAAACCAGGACTAAACCAGGACTAAAACCAGGACTAAACCAGGTCTAAACCAGGACTAAACCAGGTCTAAACCAGGACTAACCAGGACTAAAACCAGGACTAAACCAGGACTAAAACCAGGACTAAAACAGGATTAAAACCAGGACTAAACCAGGACTAAACCAGGACTAAACCAGGACTAAACCAGGACTAAACCAGGACTAAACCAGGTCTAAACCAGGACTAAAACCAGGACTAAAACCAGGACTAAACCAGGTCTAAACCAGGACTAAACCAGGATTAAACCAGGTCTAAACAATATGACACCCAACAGTAGGGTGGACATAATTTAAGGCAGCAGTGATCTCATATAGATAAATCATTTCTCTGTCAATAATATTTTTAATATGCTTAAATAAAGACTGGATAAAACATCTTATGTTAAGATTCTAGTCTTTGCATGTCTACAGCAAACAAAAGTCTGTTTATGGAGACTTGGGCTCAACAACCAATTTGAACAAACAAGAATTTTCAGGATGTGGTTGCTACATTCATGTAGTTTTAAAAAGCATGACAATATCAAGTAATCCAAAGTATTCATATTCTATTACTCACTTGAAGTAATTTAATGGATTACGTTACAAACTACATTTGGGGTATGTAATCTGTAATCTGTAGGGGAATACATTTTAAAAGTAACCTTCCCAACACTGGTAGGTTTGGTGTTTTTTTGGTTTATGGGTTTTAAAGTTTAATTGGTGTATGGTTTGAGGGTTTTATGTATATAGTTGGGGTTTTAATATAGTTATTTGGTTTTTGGTTTATTTTAAGGAGGGTTAAATCAAGATTTTAAGTTAAAGATAATTTTACCATCCCTTTTTTAGCTGTAGATAGATTTATCCAATCAGTCAGAGAAGATAAAAGGCACCTCACTACATCATTCTGTGTTCTGCTGCTAGAGAGGAAACTGCTGCCTGCCTCCATTTTGCACCCTGCACTTTTTTACACTTGCAATTTTTGTAATCACTGAAAACAAACAAAAGTAAACTGTGGGCCACCGCTTCACGTCTTTGTCTGTATTTTTTAAACCTTGCTCACCGAACCCCAACTCGTTCACAGTCAACCTACATCACAATCCACTACTTTGTACTTCTGCTTGAGTAATATTATTTTGAAGTAATGTTGCTCTTATTTGAGTACAATTTTTGACTACTCTACAAACCTCTAAATAACCTCAAAAACTGTACTCAAGTTAGAGTAACATTACTTCAAAATAACATTACTCAAGTAGAAGTACAAAGTAGTGGGTCAAGAAATTACGCAATTAAGAGTAAAAATGTATTTGGGAAAAGTGCTACTCAAGTAAAGAGTAACTGTCAGAACACAATATTTGATTTATAATTTCAAGTTAATGTAATTTTGAAGGACACATAATCTTAAATACTTCACAGAATCTGGTATTTTCAAAGGATGGACACAAAAAAGAGAAAAACAAAATATTATCTAAAGGAGCGCTGCAAAAACAAATGTTGAAATCATTTCAGGTTGTCAGCTTAAAGCTTTCGTCCCTTGTCATTTACTCACAGTGGGAAGAGTCACCACAACTTTTAGTCAAGTAAGAGTACTATTACTTCCATTGAACCTTTTTATTTGCACTTATAATTTTGTAATTCAAGATCAGATTTTAGGTGCAGAGAAATAAGTAACTTCTAAGACTCATTAACAAACGTATAACCATTAAAGTCCCTAACGGTGCTGAACCCACTGAAGCTTTTTTAATGATTTAAAATAATTTCTTTTGGGTCATTGTGTCGAGCATAAAATAACATCACATTAGTCTTATAATGGCTATAATTTCCAGACACTCAAAGTCGCTTGGCAATTTTGTGCATGACTCATTCACTCCAAATTCTGAGCGTCTGAACATCACCAACACACACACACATCTCAGTCTAACTATAGGCAATTTGAGTGAAGTGTTTTGCCCAAGGACACAACAATAACAGTTTGCATTAGAGAGACTGATAATAAGCCCCACTGTGGCCCCTGATAGATCTACTCAGAGCTCTCTCATCCAGGATTAGATCAGGACTAAACCAAGAGTAGACCAGAACTAAAAGAGGACTAAATCAGGACTAGGTCAGGATTAGATCAGGACTAGACGAGGACTAAACCAGGACTACATATCTTGATTGAACAGGATTGCATCAAGATAAAAACTAGAACTAAACCAGGACCAGATGGCAGGACTAAACCAAGATTAACCACGACTAAACCAGGACTAAACCAAAACTAAACCAGGACTAAACTAGGACCAGATGGCAGGACCAAACCAGGACTAAACCAAGATTAACCACGACTAAACCAGGACTGAACCACGACCAGATAGCAGGACTAAACCAGAACTAAGCCAAGACTAAACCAGGACTAAACCAAGACCAGACAGCAGGACCTAACAAGGACTAAACCAAGAGTAAACCAAGACTAAACCAGGACTAAACCAGGACCAGATGGCAGGACTAAAGCAGGACTAAACCAAGACTAAACCAAGATTAAACCTTGACTAAACTAGGACCAGATCAGAGGACTAAACCAGGACTAAGCCAGGACCAGACGGTAAGGACCAAACCAGGACTAAACCAAGATTAAACCTTGACTAAACTAGGACCAGATCAGAGGACTAAACCAGGACTAAGCCAGGACCAGACAGTAAGGACCAAACCAGGACTAAAGCAAGACTAAACCAGGAATAAACCAAGAGCAGACCAGGACTGTCTTAGTAATTTTGTGCATTCACTCATTCACTCCAAACTTTGAGACTTCTGTCCTCTGACCAACACCGACACTCACTCACACACCACATTCATACTATAGGCAATGTGGGTGAAGTGTCTTGCCTAAAGACAAAACAACAGCAGTTTGCAATAGATTTACAGTCTCCCATCCAAGTGCTAACTGGTCCCATCTATAGACTGTTTAAAGAAGTGGACTAAGGCAGTGTGACGTCACCCATAATTTGGCTCCAGTCAAATGAAGCTCACAGAGGGTAGCAGTCATCAGAGTGAACTTGGAGCCAAATTCCATATTAGGAATAGGAATTTATTCAGAGATTAAAAAAAAAGTGAAATAAAAAACACCAGGACTTGAACTTTTGTTTTTGTGGCAGGCTTAGACAATATAGAAACAACATGTGTCATTTCTATAGGTTTTTATATGGATGTCATTTCACACTTCCCTTTTTATCTATTCCAGAAGGCGAGGTACTCAAATAAGAGTACAGTTACTTCAAAACAATATTGCTTAAATAGAATTATGAAACAGGGCTCGAAGAAAGAAAAAGTGAAAAAATATTGTGAAAACTACTACTTAAGTAAGAGTGACTTACAGTGATTTTGAAGTTAATGTAATTTGAACAAAATATCAAATAATGCAAACATTTTGGTATTTTCACATAGTGGACTCACAGTGGGAGGAGTAATCAAAACTATTACACAAGTAAGAGTTCTGTTAGTTTAATCAAAAATATACCTCAAGTAGGACCAAAAAAGTATGCTGCCAAAAAAATACTCAGAAAAGTTACTCAAGTAAATGTAACTGAGTGCTAGCCACCTCTGATTGTGTATTTTGAAGCTGCACTATGTACATTTTTGTTTGGGGATCCGTCACCGTCTTTTTTGGGAAGGTACGTACAGCCAGGTGGACTCAGTACAGCACATTTACACCTGACACATGGGGCTTTGGAGGTCCACGTTTCTCTTTTCTCTCATTCTCCTCTTCTCCTATCTCATGCCCACAGTGTTTCATTCAGTTCCTAAAAGCACTAGGTGTTGGAGTGCGATGATTGCCACTACATGCTGGGCACTATATTGTTCTGTGCAAGGTTACGCGCCGTTAAGGCAGAGCCTCCTGTCACTCCTGTATGTTAGAGCTCCACTGCGGCTATCAGCTAAAAAGGGAAACGTGTCTCGAGCTTGTGTGCCTTGCTGCCAGTAATTATTCTGCAAAGATGTCAACACAAGCAGAGGAGAGAGAGAGAGAGACAGAGAGAGAGAGAGAGAGAAAGAGAGAGAGAGAGAGAGAGAGAGAGGGGGGGAGAGGAACATAAACTGGTCATTGGATGTATGCACTTTTCTATACTTTTATAGAGTTATAATTGCCATTGCGGCAACTTGAGGACTGGTGTTTGGGTGACACCGGGAGAAGAGGGTCCTCCCTGCTTTATGTTTCACTGTACATGCACATTTAAAACAAACCTCAAACCTCTTGTGCATTCTGGGATGGGAGGGAGAGCCAGGCTGGCGCCACCTAGTGCCTCCGCTCAATTTCGTTTCTCTCCAGCGACTAGGTCAGGAATCAGAATACACTAGACGGTTTGCAAAACCCTGGAAGTTGTAGACCGTGCACCGGCCAATCAGTGAAGAGTGCCTGTCTGGGTCCCTTTTGTGGTACAGCACAACAGTAAACAAAGCGGCCGAGATGGATGTAGACGAAGCCAGACATTCTGTGTTGGCAACAATTCCTGAGATTGAGGAATTAAAGCCAGAACAAAGAGAATGTTTGGTGAATTTTATCAAGGGGAAAAATGTTATTGCCCTTCTTCCTACAGGATTCGGCGCATTACATACGTCATGACCAAATAGCAGTGATTGGTTAAATAAAAAAATAGAGCTATCAAATTCTAATGCTGCGAGGTCAGACAGTTTTCATGAAGTGAAACTGGCTGACGAATCAGGTTGTGGGAGGGAGAAAAGGAGACCTAGTAAACAATTTGGTCAATAATTCCTGTCGCGCTCCTCCATGTGCAACTTGAGACATCTATTTGGATTCAGTGGGGGCATTCAAGGTACGCACACTGCACATTAAACAGCTCTACCTTACACAGATATGACGTCAATCTTGGTCTGGTCTGGTCTCAAAGAAATGACCAAGAAAGGTTTCATGCCATACAGTGAAACATTCCAGATAAAGCAATAACATCGCCACAGAAAAAAGAACTGGAAGGACCCTCCACCAGAAAAGCTACACAATGCATCTTTGACATTTTCCCCCCTACTCCGTTTCTACATATTTGCACAGTGTAGCTCTCATACCGGTAGATTGGAAGACTCCGGGGTTACAGAGGCAGTAGCGAGTAGCGAAAGCCTCCATCATTCTGTCGATTTTCTGAGCTTCTCCAGGGAGACGGAAACTCCACAGAAACTGCCTAAGGACACAATACATGGAGAATATTAGCATAAACCAGACAGATGGAAAAGACTGGCAAACAGAGCAAAGGTTTTCAACTGGTGGAGCTCTGGCCCTGAACTCATGACAAGCCAAAGTGACGCAAAATATAAAGATGATATGATATAATGTAAGAAATAATATGATAAAACATTTTGCAGTTTGACAAGTTCACAAGAGTCTCTTAAAAAGGTCACTTGCTATTTTGAAGAAATTTACAGCAGAACTAAGAAACGTGAGCGATAACACTTCATCTGCAGCTTCTTCAGACAACAGACCCCATGTTTTTCCCTTCTTTAAGCTCATAAAAAACAAAGATGAGACATTACAGTTAAATCGTTGTATCCTTGTATGTGGGACATCATGTTAAAACTGAACTAAATCAGGACTACCAGGTTTTTCGAGTAAAACCAGTTCTGAACATGTTACAAATCCATCCAAACAGAGGCCCATCACCATGAAAATAAAAGCTATTATCATGAAACTGTCTGTGGAGCTGGAGCAGAGGAAACCTTGGGAGAGAATAGTCACAGATTTATTTGTGCTGGTTGACCATGGCAACAGTGATGTTAGAGCGATCTGTGCTGTACTGAAGGACAGAGGGAAAATAAAGGGACAAAATGCTGTTAATCAATGAAGGTCGCAGTGGTGCAGTCCTGCCACAACCAGAAGCTCCAAGGTTTGATTCCTGGAGTAAATAGAACCTTTTCATATGAATGCTATATACCATACCATGCTGTACAAAAACACAGGATAGACAAGGACAATCGCAATACAACACAATACAACTACTTTAAAAAACAACATAGAAAACAATAAAATACTCAACAACAAGAAAAGTTTGTTGTCACTAGGTTGTGCAAACACAAAAAGTAAATAAAATAATTTAAAAATCAACTCTAAAAGACACTGGGAGCCAGTGGTGAGAGGCTAAAACAGGTGAGATGCTCTCATGTTTCCAGGTTTCAATTAAAAGTTGAGCTGATGAGTTTTGGACCCGCTGCAAACGGCAAAGTGCATTTTGGCTGACACCAACATTAAGTGTATTACAATAATTCCAATCTAGTCATCACAAATGGATGTATGACACTTTCGAAGTGTTCTACTGACAAAATAGGCTTAATTTGGACAGCTGTCTTAACTGGAAAAAAATAGACTTTACAACAGCACTAATTTCCTCATCACATTTTAGATCAGGGTCCATTTTGACACCTATGTTTGAAACAACTGGCTTCAGTAAATGATTTAGTGAACCCAGGTCCACAGGAGAAGAAGAATTTGAAGAGCTAGGGCCAAATATATGCTATACTTTTTTTTCTCTATAATTTGATGAACCAGTATAAATAAAATAACAAATGTTTATTTGCTCCTAATGTAACATGGAAGTGACCAATCCAACATTGTTTTGTTCAGTGTTATTTTAAAAAGGTGTGAGAGTCAATACATGAATGACTTTGCAGTCTATAAATAAAATAAAATGCTATTGTATTTTCTTATTTTTAAGTCTTATTACCCTGTACCCATCAGAAATGTCTTGAAATCCCTTATCTTGAAACCAGTTCAATGTTTAAGACATTCAATCAATGTAATTAATTATAAATACTGACATTTACTGTGATTGAGTAGCAATTGTCATATAAAGTTTAATATAACTTAATTTAAACTGTTTTATTAAAGTGATGAGTAAAGTCAAACACATGATTATGCATGAATACATTTAATTTCCATACTGTGGAATATTATAGCCAAATGAACATTTCCAAGCAGAAGGCCTTCATCCAGGCCAGGGTTTTTCTAAGATCAGTAAAAACATCTGTTATGAAAAAATACTTTTAAAATACTGGGGCTTTAATCAGGTTTTGTGTAAAATATTGAGCTAACCAGGCAACTGAACTTAGCAATTTTCATTCCTTTATCCACCACCAAATATTTATCAAATCAAGAGTTATATTTGAAATTGAAATGATTTCTTAAGCTAGTGTAGGTGTGAAATGTATGGTTTTGATCTCATCTTCTGTTGCACACACTGAGCAAATTCTTTTATCTTGTATCTGGTTTTGTATCTTGTATGAAAGACTTCCACAGAAGACTGATTTGAAATGCTTCTAAAATTGCATCAAAAATGTAACTAGAAATGTGAGGTGTACTTTTAAAGCACATTTCATACCGTCAGATGCTTTTCTCCTTTTATTATTTCTTTATTGCTTTGTTTGGAATGTTTCACAGTATGGTAATAAAGCTTTCTATCTTCAACGAGACCAGGGAGCGCTATAAAACCACCTGTAATTGAATACATGTAAGGTAGAGCTGTTTAATGTCATACTGTGGAACATGTCCAGGGAGAGCAGTGACTCATTCATAGAAACAAGCAGGTGACGGACTGTATATATACAATAAGTCTAGTTATGCAAAGAAACTTAACAATAGTCATCACATCAAGTCAGTCTGTAATCTGAGCTAGGTGTGAAAAGTGTGGTTTTGACTCTTTGGTTTTGAGTGGTTTTTTGCGTGCATTGTCTTTTTTCATACCGACCTCAAAGCCTGCACTAGATTCAAGTCGGAGAATTCGTGCAGCGTCACAAAAGCTCTGAGCACCGCCAGATGCATTTCCTCTCTGCAACAAAACAAAAGTCTCATGAAAAAAATACCCAGCAACATAGAAGTAAACAATGCTGTATCTGTGCAGGAGTGGGACAAAAGCTGACGCCTACAGTCTCACACAGGGCTGAATGCAATGTTAGGATTCCAATACAGATAATAATACAAAAGGAGCACTCTTATAATCTTCAACTATAACGAGTGGGAAACAGATGCACAGTTTATGGTGTTTAATCAGTAGCTAAAATAGTTGCTTTAGATGCACTGTGCAACTTTACTTTACAGACTTGGGGTTATGTTTTGTTTTATTCACACACGTTTAACACACAAATCCTGCATTTTTAGTTTGAGAGTTTTTCTCTCAAACGGAAAGCACTCTGTTCCACCTTGTGATGTCATGTGGTAATACAGTAAGTGCTCCACTGTGCTTTTAAACTCCATACACCTTTACTAGAATCATTTGGATGATTTCAGTCCTGAAATTTCCAATCTCTACTGATCTAAAGGTAAAAAGGTAGATGTTAACTTGAAAACTACTGCTTCATGACATCACTAGGTGGAACAAAGCATTTTAGCTTTGGAGATGTAGACAGATGAATAATAAAGGAAACACGACTCCAGGTAAGAGTCAATTTTGTGTAATATACCACTTTTCAGGTGGTGGGTCTGTCATATATTTGTGTTTATTTTCCATGGAGATGTTATTGCTTTGTCTGAAATGTTTCACAGTATGGTATTAAAGCTTCCTATCTTCATGGAGACCAAACCAGACCAAGTAATAGGTCAGATCCGCTCACAATCAGAATACCTGTTTTTCTAGGTATTTTTGAGCTATAAAACCACCTGTAACTAAATAAATGTAAGGTCATTTAATGTCATATTGTGGAACATTCCAGACAGAGCAGTGACATATCCATAGAAACGAGCAAATGACAGACCAGAAAAGTTACACAAAAATAGTTTACCTGCAGAACTACTTATCTCATGAATGATTTTTGTGTAATTTTAGTCCATTCTTTCTCAGTGATCCATATTAAAGACATAGACATACCTCTCTCCTAAGAAGTTTCCGATGGCCGTTTTGTTGAGTCCTTCTTCTTTATAGAGAAATTCAGCCACAGGTTCAGGTCTCCACTCCAGCAGCCCACTGTCCACCAGGTACCGTATGCCCTAAAGAGATTTCAAGAAGAATGACCATACTGACAAGATACTAACATTTCAAAGTCAATTACTTGATCATTACTGGTCAGTGGTCATACTGATGGTCATTACTTGATACCAGTACTACAGTGGAGATTGTACAGATTGACAGTAGTTCAGTTGGTAGTGTTTGTTCACTGATCTGAAGGTTGGCAGTTCGAATCCCACTCTCAACATATAAAAACATCATTGGTTGAGCAGTCAGATCCAATAACCCACAGTTTGGCTCCCACAGATGAATGCTGTCATTGTGTCCTTGGGCAAGACACTTAACCAACCTCACCCCCAGTATCTGCGCACACTGTTCCTGGATGTAAAGTGCTTTAAGTGCCTTAAGTATATAATAAAAATGTGTCCATTTACCAAGATAAAACCTGTTCTTTCTTTAGCAATAGTTTAGTGATAGTAAGAGTTCTTATACGAGTTTTGGTAAAGTCCGTTATTTTGTTTTGCAGAATCGAAACTTGCTCAAATGAGTATCTAATTTCAACACTTTTAACAACAACAACAAGCTCAACAACAAGTGAGTTAAAACAACAACAAGTGAGTTAAAACTATATAAATCAGATCATCATTCATTCAAATCCACAGTTTCCACTTTCTTCTGGTGTTCCCCAAGGGTCTGTTTTGGGTCCACTCTAATTCACTATACCTTCATTTAGACTTTGCGAATTATCTAAAATCTGATCTAAAATGTATTATAATTATTTGTGGGTAAACCTGGCTCCAAATATTATGTGTTAATGGCGCACTATGTAACTTTTCTAGCGTAGAGTCTACCACCTACGAGAAGCGAGACCAAGTACACATGTTTTTCAAGTCATTTTTAAGCAACTGATTCTTACTGAAATTCTTGCTCTCTAAGTGATAAAAGTTTGGAGACTTAAAGGTGATCTATGTAACTTTTCTGGTGGAGAGTTTGCCTCCTGCTTGGCTCCATGGAGATGCTATTGTTTTGCCTGAATGTTAGGCATAACATTTAACTTATTCAGATATAAAGACAGGCAGATTATCTCACTAGGCCGAGTTACAGGTCAGATCCGTGGTGATGCAAGCCTCCTGCAAATTCTAATTTAAGAAAACAAGCGAGGATGAGAAGTGAACTATGTAAAAGACCTCAAGTTCATGTCCAAGGGTAGTTTTTCATCTTTTTAGCAAAACTTATGGAACTCAAAAATAACAAGACACAACATGACTATAATTACTGCTTTAAAGATGCACTATGTAACTTTTCTTATAAGAGCGTGGCCTGAAAAAGCATGCACAAATAAAGGACTGGACTATGTGTAACACCCTGAGTTCATATATAAAGCTAGTTTTACTTTCATCAGAAAAGTTAAAATTAAAGTGTGAATTAACACCTATACTCCACCCATACCGTAAGCATATTTCAGACAGAGGTGCTAAACTGAGCAGTGACTCAAGAACTAAAGTAGAGCGTGAGAGTGGAGGAGGGGCGGGGTTTAGAGCTATAAGGAATTCTGTGATTGGTCTAACACAGGGGTGGGCAAACTACGGCCCGGGGTCAATATGCGGCCTTTTAATCTTTTTAATCCGGCCCGCTAAAATTTTATAATAGTAGTAATTGTGTCGAAGGACATAATATATTTCTGCCGGATGTTTGATTGACAGAATTTGTAACCAATCAGATGTTATCGTGTTTTAAGTTTGTTTGACAGCGCTCCGTGTTTTAGTTGTTTTCAGTGCGTCGTGCGGAGCTTGTGGGGGCGAAGTCTCGTGTGCGTATAAAAGAAGTGAGTAGTGGTTTAAAGAAATGCACATATACATCAAGCTGTTTACAGAGTGTTGTGAAGTTTTTAGCAGTAGAAGATTATAGAAAATGCGTGTTCAAGGGCCAATTATATGTTTCATGAAAATGCTAAGTGCTAGATGCTAAGTGCTAGCTAGCAGCCTGCTATTATTACAGAGCTATTACCGCTTGTTTCTGACGTGTTTGTTTAGCTATTTTATAGAGTATATTATAATTTATATATCTTACTTCTGTTTGTTTGTTTCAGGACCACACACACACACACACACACACACACACACACACACACACACACACACACACACACACACACACACACACAAGTTCAACGTTTTTAATAAAAGTCATAAACTCCATCATCTCTCATCGTGCATTCTTACCAATGCCCCCTGGTGGTCACAACAATTATAAGCCACACAACTAGTTTCCCCATAACAGTAATAATTTTCAGTGTTTTAAAAGTCATTTCTATAAATAGTAAATATCATGGGACTTGAAAGACAGATATTTTGTTGTACTGCTCTGTAATGATTTTCAGTTATGGGATATTTCAATAACATGGGATATGTTTTCTACATATCCCATGTTATTTTTTTCTCTTATGAAGTGGATTACCAAAAAACTCCATCCATCTGCTCCTGGTCCAGCCCTTCCGTCAAATTTTAGAACCCTTTGTGGCCCACGAGTCAAAAAGTTTGCCCACCCCAGGTCTAACAGGTATCCACACTTCAAGCTTAGGCATTTTTGACCAGAAAGCTCCAAATATCCCTAGTTTGCACATTAGCTGCCTGAAAAGGAAAAGCAAAAAAGGTTGATTTAGTGGTAGTAAAGGTCCTGTATTTCACAAAATTTACTCTTATGAGCTTTAAGCCGTGTTATAATGTTTTTATTTCTTCAAAAACAAATAGTAAGTGGTCACATTTTTAAACAGTGCTTTTCCACCTTCAAGGCACTCAAAGCGCTTTACAACAAGGAACCACTCATTGATTCACACACACACTCATACACCAGTGTACGCAGACACCAGGGGCAAGGAGGGTTAAGTGACTTGCCCAGCGACACAATGACAGCATCGATCTGTGGGAGATGAACAAACACCGCCAACCTGTAGGTCAGTGGATTTGACCTCTCAACCAATGAGCTCTGTCGCCCATAACTAGAGTCGTGTTTTGTTTCATTCACGCACATCTGAGTAATCTGTCATTAGTCTGTCTACATCTCCAAAGCTCAAAATGCTCAGTCCCACCTTGTGATGTCATATAGTGTGAGTTTTCAAGTTAACTTTTTATCTTTTGGTCAGGAAACATTGACAATTTCAGGGCAGAAATCATCCAAATGATTCTAATGAAGGTGTATGGAGTTTAAAAACACTGTGGAGCACTTCCTGTATTAATCACAAGGTGGAACAGTGTGTCTTCTGTTTGCGAGAAGAACTTTCAGCTCCTAAATATGCAGGGTTTGTGTGTTAATGAAACATGCGTGAATGAAACAAAAAACACAGCTCTTGGCATGTTTGCGATGAGGAAACAACTCAGAAACAGCTCAGAAAATAACGTAATATGAGCCTTTAAAATATAACCCAACTTTCTGTCTCGCACAGTGTTTTTTTGTATCTTATTTCAAACACTCATCCAGTCTGCAAGGAGAAGGTTCATGCTAAAATCAAAGGCTGACTCCATCTAATGAATTTTTAATACATCTCTGGCTTGTTCTCTGTGGGGGGTTCACAGCCAGATCTTGACATAATCCTCCCTGGTTCAATCGTGCTGAAGTGAACACAGCAGCAATTACAGGCAAAACTCCGGCCCTCCCCTCGGGTCCTTCCATTCTGATGTGTTTGAACCAGTACGCAGATGCCGAGGTCAGTGTGGTACTGCAGAAGAAGAGAAGCTCGCGTCTCACTTCGGGGAACAGGATGTGGCTTTGCTGCTCTTTATAACTCGACTATGAGCGGTGGTGGAGCGAAGCAAAGTTAAATTAAGTGACGTGCTTAAAGGGCTCAGATTGCACTATTTTCTAATTTATGTTATAATGTTGTTTCCTCAGCACAAATATACCTGGAGTTGTGTTGTGTTTCACCTTGTGATGTCATGTGGTAGTACAGGAAGTGCTCCAGTGTGTTTTGAAACTCCATACACTTTCACTGGAATCATTTGGGTGATTTCAAACCTGGAATTGCCAATCTCTACTGAACAAAAGGTAAAAAGCAGCTGTTAAAACTATCACTTCATGACATCACAAGGTGGAACAGAGCATTTTGAGCTTTGGAGATGTAGACAGACTAATAATAAACTATTACTCAACCATGTGTGAATGAATCAAAACACAACTCCAGGTATGTTTATGATGAAGAACTAACATTATAACATGGTTTAAAACTCATAATGGGACCTTTAAGTAGATTTTAAAGAGGATACTTTACTTATACTTCCCTACATCTGACAGCATGTATTTGTACTTTCTACTCCACTACATTTTAACTGAACTGAAAGGTAAAAGTTTTTTTATTATTGTTTGCGACCTGTTGAGAAGGCTTTTCGTAGCATTCGTAGTTTTAGCAAACAGAACATCTACAATTAGTCTCTACATTTGAAGCTTTATTAGATCTCAAACTCTGTGTAGAAAACTTATACTTTTTACTCTTAAAGTACATTTTAAACGGGTACTTTTACATAACTAGATTTTTTCATGTGATACTTTTTTTTTTGCTCCTGTATCTGCCCTTTTACTTCAGCACAAATCTAAATCGAGTTCTTCTTCCATCGCCGACTGACAACACGTTATGCAGTTATAGAGTGAATGTAAGAGTGAATAGGCCACAGAGAAACGTGACTCAGAAATGACCTTCAAATCCACAGTGGTTTCACACAGAGTCATAAAGCTTTAGTTAAAGGTCCTATAATATATACAAATTAAGCTGGTGAGCTTTGAGACATGTTATAATGCTGTTACTTCATCATAAACAGACCTGGAGTTGTTTTGTTTCATTCACACATGTTTGAGTAATCCTTTATTCTTATTATCTCCAAAACTCAGAATGCTCTGTTCCACCTTGTGATATCATGAAGTGGTAGTTTTCAATTTAACATCTACCTTTTCCCTTTACTTTAGTTGAATTTGGCAATTCCAGGGCTAAAATTATCCAAATGATTCTAGTGAAGGTGTGTGGAGTTTAAAAACACAATGGAGCACTTCCTGAGATACCACATGACATCACAAGGTGGAAGAGTGAAGAGTGTTTTCAGTTTGGGAAAAGAACTCAGCCTAAATCTGCAGGGTTTGTGTTAAACATGTGAATGAAGCAAAACACTCCAAGTATGTTTGTGATGAGAAAACTACATTATAACAGATTGGAAAATACTGTAATATGTGTCCCATTTACTTCCTGCTTGGACAGTCTATAACAGTTACCTAGCAACAATACTGTACACAAAGAACACGGTTCATCTAATTTGCGCAATAATAAAGACTTTCTGAATTAAAATGTACAGTATATGAAAGAGATTCTGTGGGTGTAGATGTCTGAATGCATGAATAACCTTTCTCATGTCAATGCTTTGAAACTATCGTAGATAAAAATCTAAGAATCATTCAAAGTTCCTGTACCTGACGTTAAACCAGAGTCATGAACATGTTTTAATTTGCACAAAAGCAGTGCACCATGACACAAAACAAGACTCTAGGAGAGTGTCGAGCAGCTGTTTCCTTAATGTCTGCTGATAATTTGCTTTTTGGTCACTCTTAAAAATGCATCGTGAGAAACAAGTGCCTGGGATAGTGTCAGGACAGCTGGTTTCCCATGATTCTTAGTAACAGAGTACCTGATTGGATGAAAAGACCTGTCAGTAGCTTCTATTTACTTATTACCTGAGAAATGCAATGTAAAAAAAAATGAATAGAAAATACTTTACAGTCTTGTATATTTAGAAACTGTGCATTGATGACTTTGCTGTTGTTACTTTGCAGCTGACATTACCAACATTCACTGGGATGTGCGATGCTCGGAAGGACTATACTGACTAAATAAAGGTCAAATACATGCATTACGAATTTCGGACTTCCGTTCATTGCGCAATGCATACTGAGAAGGATTTTCTGAAAAAGTGAGCATCAAACCGCCATGTTTGTTTTCCCAGTGGGATGCCTCTATTGACAAAGTCGATCTTTTCTAGTCTTTTGAACCATATCACTTTTGTTTCTGGTTCTGATATTGTCATATTTTAGTTTTGGGATTCGGACATTGTAATTGTGTGGTTGTTGGATCCTAACAGCAGAAAACGGCTCGAGAAATTTGTTTGCGAACTCCACAGATGCAAAAGGGAATAAGATGTGTGTGACCGCAAACCTCCGTTCAAACTGTTTCCCTTCCCAACAGATTTGAAAAATAGTGAAAGGTGAAGGCGATGGGCAGGATTGATCCACAGGAAGGACCAAAAAGGAAACCTTTGACTGCCTAAGAAATCATCCCGAGTTTGCAGCGAACATTTTGTATGTGGAGAGTCATCAAAGCAAAACCTCGATCCCTTGCTACATCTTGGTTACGAATTTAAAAAGTCAACGCCAAAGCAAAAGGCACCAGCTGTTCACCAAGAAACACCTTCCACCCCAAAGCGACCAAAACGTGATGCTGCTGTAAAACCACAAGAACAAGAAAGTGCTCGCTCAGTCTGTTTGTCTTCTGTACCTCTTGCTTAACAAACAGGATCCTGCTTTGATGTCGCTGAACATACAAAATGTTCGCTGCAAACTCAGGATGATTTCTTTGGCAGCCAAAGGTTTCCTTTGTGGTCCTTCCTGTGGATCAATCCTGCCCATCGCCTTCACCTTTCACTATTTTTCAATTCCGTTGGTAAGGGAAACAGTTTGAACACAGGTTTACTGCCACACACATCTGATCCCCTTTTGCATTTATGGAGTTTGCAAACAAATTTCTTGAGTGGTTTCTGCTGTTAGGACATCCAACAACCACATAATTACGATGTCCGAATCCCAAAACTAAAATATGACAATATCAGAACCAGAAACAAAAGCGATATGGTTCAAAAGACTTGAAAAGATCGAGCTTTGTCCATAGACTCATCCCACTGGGAAAACAAACATGGCGGTTTGATGCTCACTTTTTTGGAAAATCCTTCCCAGTATGCATCTGCGCAATGACCAGAAGTCCGAAATTCGTGATGCATGTATAAATAAAATAAAAATGATAACTGTAGACACTGCTCTGTCTGTAGTTCTGTTATGTTGCTCTAGATGCTCTAGTTGGACGCCTTTGCATTTGATTCCAGACAAGGATAAATCAATACAGGCTTTTTAAGTGCATATAACATAAGACACTGAACTTTTTTTTGTTATTGTTATGTCTGGAATGTTTCACAGTATGGTATTAAATCTTTTTATCATCATGGAGACTGAACTACTAAGCTACCGGTTAAATCTGTGGTGAGGCGAACCCCACTCACAGTCAGAATGCTTGTTTTTCTAGGTATTTTTGAGCTCTAAGACCACCTGTAATTGAGTAAATGCAAAGTAGAGCCGTTTAATGTCACACTGTGGAACATTCCAGGCAGAGGAATCACATATCCATAGAAACAAGTAGGTGATTGCTGCATAGTGTACTTTTAAGTAAATTTATAAAATACCTTTTTCGGATCCATGTTGAATTTCTTTTTCCCATGCAGAAATTTCCGACTCCTCGACACATTTTTACTGCAACAAAATAAGACAAATATGAGACAACATTTATCATCTCTATTTTTCTCTTCTACTGTTGCATATACTAAAATGTAGGAATTAATGTTCAATTGGTCTTCATTGTATTTGTCAAAATTTGGAGTTTGTCTTTTTCTCAAACCTAGCAAGCCTTTATTATTCTCCCATTCCCTCATATCCTGAGGTTCAAAAATAAAAAAAAGTCTAAAATAACAGTCATTTCTTCAAGTTGGCTGCACAGAAACGAAGAACAGAGCCCTAATCTGAGTTGTTGCCTTAGAAACAGCACAAAGGACAACAGCACATATAATTTTACTTTATTTTAAACAAATGATACTGATTGAAATTTGATGACTTAAATTCCTTTAAAATCAATTCATCTAAGAAAACATGTTTAAAGGTTCCATATTATGCAATTTTCTTATCTGTTCTAATGTTGTTTCCTCATCACAAACAGACCTGGAGTTGTGTTTTGTTTCATTCACACGTTTAACACAGAATACCTGTATATTTAGGCTGAGTTCTTCTCTCAAACGGTGATGTCATGTGGTAATACAGGAAGTGCTCCATACACCTTCACTAGAATCATTTGGGTAATTTCAGCTCTGAAATTGCCAATCTCTATTGCACTGAAGGTAAAAGGAGCTGATAACTGTTTGCCCAATGTTCGAACTACCCATAAAAGATTCTGTGTGTCTCTATGTGGTGTAAAACTCTGGAATAGTCTGGATACACGTCTCAAGCAAAGCCAAAATATCCATAAATTCAAGTGGTTATATAAACATATGGTGTGGTCACAGTATATAGAACAGGGGTCTCCAACCTTTTTCCCCAGTGACCTTTTACAAAACGAAAATTCCAGAGAGCTACTTATTTTAGCAATGAAGGAAATAAAGTATACATAAGAGCCATGGCAAGACAGGTTATGTTCAGACTGCAGGATTAACGCTAAATTCGAATTTTTTGTGAAATCTGATGTTTTTGTGAGGTCGTTCACATTTCCAATTAAATGCGACTTGTATGTGATCCCCTGTGTGAACCCGCATGCACACTGGAGGACACGATGACGTCAACCACAGCGAGCGTGCTCTGTGTTTACAGACGTTGTCCAAACATGGACGCGAGCATTGAACACCAGGCGATTTTAAAGTTCCTCTCGTACCGGAGCCAGAACATGAACAACTTAATTGTTTTAAGGAGGAGCTTGAGAAGGAGAAGGAAGAAAAAGAAGAAAAAAAGAAACGTGTGGATGTGGAGACGTAGCCAAGAGTGGTGGGACAGCGATGTGCTTTGCTTCAGTGACAGGGAGTTCATTAACAATTTTCGTATGACAAGAAGAACGTTTGTGTACATTTGTCGTTTGTTGATAATGTGTAGGTCGGATGAATGCGCGTTGGTCGTTCTGACTGAAGTCACAAGTCAAAAGATTTTATATGTATCGGCTTTAGGAGCACATATAAGTGGCCTGGGTCGCATTTTTAAAAAATCGGATCTGTGTCGTTCAGACTGCCATTAAAAGATCAGATACAGGTCACATAGGGGTGAAAAAATCGGATTTGGGTCACTTCAACCTGCAGTGTAAACGTAGTCTTAGATGAGGTACAATTAGATAAAACGTAAAACATAAACCATTATTTATTTGAGGACACAAAGTCAGACATTAAAATGATAGATTTACAATAATAATATCCATTTAATTCATCACATTTTAGTTATTGAGGACATTATGTGTAATTCAGAAATCCATTGACAAGCCACTTAGAAGGGGGTGGAGAACCACTGGTAGCTCCCGAGCTACAGGTTGGAGACTCCTGATATAGAGAAAGGCTCATAATATTAGAACAATACTTCCTTCTGTAGTGCTGGTTTATGTTTGTTGTTTCGGCACCATTGCTGGTATGTGCTGTCCTTTACATTATTTGTATCTGTTGTCTGTTAGCATTGTGTGTGTCCTTAACATTACCATTGTTGGTATGATTATGTTACACTACCAAACTATAACAGTGACTCATTATCTGCACTTGTTCATATAGTTTAATGCAAAACGCCTGAAAAATGCAAAAGAAAGCTCATTGTGTTAGATTTGAAGAGTCCCACGTCTTTTTGGGAATTTTATTTATGTATTTTTTTCTGTGGTTGTTTCTATTGTAATTTCACTGAGGTTGTATGTTAGCCAGTCTGGCGCCACCTAGTGCCTCCGCTCAGTTTAATTTCTCTCCAGCAACTAGGTCAGGAATCAAAATTCAATAGACGGTTCACAAAAACCCTGGAAGTGCAAGTTCAGGCACCAGCCAATCAGCGAAGAGCCATACATTCTGTGTTGCAACGATTCCCAAGATCGAGGATTTAAAGCTGGAACAAAGAGAATGTTTGGTGAATTTTATCAAGGGGAAAGACGTTATTGTCCTTCTTCCTACGAGATTTTGGAAAAGCTTAATATACCAGTTAGCCCTGTTAGGGGCACATTACACATGATTATATGTGATTACCAAATAGCAACGACTGGTTAAATGATAAAAAGTACCCTCCAACTGTCGAGCAAACGAATTCTAACGCTGCGAGGTCAGGCAGTTCTATGAAGTGAAACAGGCTGATGAATCAGGTTAGTTGTATGTTCCATTGTATAAAAATGTAAATCTCTTACTTGCTGAAAATAAATACATAAGTAAGCTTCATGACATCACAAGGTGGAATGGAGCATTTTGAGCTTTGGAGATGTAGACAGACTAATAATGCAGGATTACTCAAACATGTGTGAATGAAACAAAACACAATGTTGTGAAATCCAGGACCTTTAACAGACATCTGAAACTGTGGTTGAAATCAGAGTTATAGTTACAAATTTTTTTTTTTTTTTTTTTTTTTTTTGTTTGAACTGATCTAAAAGCCTCCTATGGACAGGTGTTATAGTCAGAATTTTACTATTAATACTTTGCAGCTGACGCCATCTACTTTTCCTGATGTCAACTGGAGGCTCTGCTCAGTCTGAAGCTCTCTTACTCAAGTTATTAGACTTTAATCTGAACTTTCTTTAAACACAATCTGACCAGAAAGAACTAACTTGAGAAACTACAACAAGCAAGCTGATTTGTGCTATTAAACAAGTCCCTCTCAAAAAAAACAAAAAAAAAACAACAATCACAAGCAAGTATTAGCCAACAGTTTTTCCAGTTAACACCAAAACTGGATCATAAACACTCCTACTGATCCTCTTCCTGAAAATGATGTTTGTCTGCTTATCTTGACATGTTTTTTGTTTGTTTGTTTGTTTTTTTTGCATGTTAATGTGTGTGAGTATTGGTCACCGTCATAACTGCTCAACATTCCCACATAGACATCCATTCATAACCCCCAGTGTGATGTAAGCAAAGTTTCAGTAACACTAGAGACAATGCATCTGGTTTGTCTCATTTAATTGCTGTGCCCATAACAAAGAAATCTGAACTCAATAAGATAAAATATGTTCGACGTTTTTTTTGTTTCTTAAAATTATATAAAATCGTACGTTTGTATAAAATCATGTTGAAAATCCCTTACACGCACTGGTCCACTGATAGTGTCGTGTCTGAAAAGGTCATTATTGTTTATCAGTCACTCTCAGGAAAAGGAAGTCCTTATTTGGAATTGACACATATTAGTACATTCCACCGAATTCAGGGTGAACCAAACCAGAAGAAGTTAAGCAACAGTTTTTTCATCTCATTTTGGGTGACGTCCAGTCAAGTTACGATGACTTGAATTACGAAAGTTTCATTATGATGAGTAAATTTCACTTGACAAGTAAAATTTTCTCCATGTGAATAAGACTTTTTGTACCTAAAATAGGAACGTACATCTTGCAACACTCTGCAAACTAAGAAAAGCAACAACTCTGCCCACTTAAAATAAGAAACAAAATCAAATATTGCTTGAATTAATAAAAACTATGGAAGATCCTGAGCGGCAAGAGAGAAAAAAAAACAAAACAAAAGAGGCACGTCTTTTGGGCTCTATTTTCTGTTTTGTTTTTTTGCACCAGCAACTCAAGCATTTTTTCAATGGCATTTTTTTATTTTATTTTTTTTATCTTTGATGTGGTTGATATACAAAAGTAGAACTCGTGACAAGACTGGTTTAAACCACACTTATTCCATTGGTAGATCATTTTACTTGTCAAGTTGAATCTACTCAAATAAAGTTAAATGTTCTTAATTTAAGTCATTTTAACTTTCCTATTTTTATTTTTTTCCAGTGTATCTTGTCTCCAAGGTGATAGCGTTTGATGTTCTAAATGTAATTCCGTTGTTTTTCGATGACGGTAACAATAAAACCTTGAATCTGAATCTTTGATCTATTAGTGCTTTTCCTGGAATATTCCACAGTAAGACATTCAACTTATCTTGCATTTATACTATTACTAAGAGCTTTATTACTCACACGTACACAAAAAACACTAAAATGCATTAGCTGAGTGGGCTTGTCTCTCCACAAATCTGACCCATAACTCAGCCTGGTGGTGTCAATTGCTTGGTCAATTAGTTAAATGTCATACTGTGGCAACATTTCAGGCAAAGCAATGGCATCTCTATGGAAACAAGCAGGTGGTTTACCGTATTTTTTGGACTATAAGGCATGCCAGATTATATCAATATCAGCATCAATAATGTTGAATTCTCTTGTCTATTTTCATACATAAGGCGCAGTGGATTTTAAGGCACATTAAGTGAAACAAACGAACAACAGTTGAGACTGAACCCTTAGGCCAGGTATCCACCATCCATTGGCAGATCATGTCATATTTCACCCGGTGTTGCCTCTCTGTCTTGGTGAATGTGGGTGGATAATTTAAGTTTGGATTTTTATTTCCTACGAGGACGATTCAAATATAAGCGAGTTTCAGCTGACGTCATTGTTATTAAAAGCCCGCGTTGCATGCTGGGAAATATTTTGGTTGGGAGGCAAGAAACACGATAGCGGTCGAACACAGTGCGTAACCTCGCGTATTTATCCCCGATAATGGTAAATTCCTGCTGCAATATCGGATGCACAAATAGAAGCACGGAAGAAGAAAAATTTCTTTTTTGTATTCTGAGTGAAAAGAACCGCTAACGGCGAATTAAATGGCTTTCAAACATTCGCAGAACAAACGTAAACCTAGTAAACCGTGGACTCCAACAAGTTCAACAACACATCGAGACTCTTGGAGGTTTTCATCTTTTCTGCTGTGAATGGCCCAGGAGTTTCCACCAAGTCATTGTGGATATCGCCGAAGTGAATATTTGGCCAGGTAGTTGGCGATTCCGACCAGAAATTTGGTTTGGTCCACACTTTGTAGGGGCTGAAAAGAGGTTCCTGACTACAGTAGCCGTAATGCTCCGACAATCCATCAAGCGGTGCGGCTTCGTAGTTTACCAAAGTCGTACTAAAATATTTTGACAGATTTTTGAGCACCGTGTACCACATAAAATAGGTTCAAGGTCAGTAAGCACAACCAAAATTAATACATAAGGTGCACTGGATTATACTGAGAAAATTGAAGGATTATAAGTGCACCTTATAGTCCTAAAAATACAGTACTCTTCTTCATAAAAGGTACATAGCACGCCTTCAAAACAGAAGAAACAGGCTCTTTCCTCTATAACACAGGTGTCAAACATAAGGCCCGGGGGCCAGATCCGGCCCTGCAAGACCTTTAATGTGGCCCTTGGGTGATTTTCTACTAAAATATTTTAATTATATTTTCTATTAAAATATTGTTAATTTTCTGTGGTGTTTATCACAGCAGCGTCTCCAGCGTCTCTGTACGTGGCCCCTCCCACCAGAGCAGCACAAATGAAGACTTGCATCTTTCCAAACGCTCTTAAAGGACGAACGTTTTGACTGTTGACCGTGACACCCTCATCAGCAAAATGTCCAAAATGAGAAAAGTGGAGCCGAGTGCAGGATTTTACAACAAAAATTGAAGAAAAAGTTCATCAATTAAAAAAGATTTCTGTAATAGATTTGTGTTTCTCTGCGCAAATATTTGAATTTATTGTTATTTTTGGGGTTTATATGACATGACTTTTCTGATTCGGCCCCTTTGGGATTAAAGTAGGTTGGATATGGCCCCCGGACCAAAATGACGTAATACCAAAAGTGTCTCAATAAAAGACATCTAGCACAAAAGTGGGTAGTTAGATTCCCATGGCTGACATTGAAAACTGTATCGTTCAGTGTCGTCCTCATCTAGCCTCTGTGTGCCTGTGCTAATGTCACAGCCATCTGGAAAGCATTACAGTAATTATCTAAATTAGCCTGAGACGACAAAAACAAAGACTTAATTAAAAAATGAACCCAGAGAATGAGAATAATCCAGGTTTATAAGTAACAAAGGTTGAATGTGTGAAAGCAGCTGGTGGAGATCGCGCTACCTGCTTGTCTCCATGGAGATGTTATTGCTCTCCCTGGAATGTTCCACAGTATGACATTAAACCAAATTAATCCAAATTTACACCCACGTACGCGCTCTGAGGTCTGAGGGCCAACTCCAGCTCTTGGTGCCAAAGATGAGACTAAAAACCCACTTTTATTCTCCGGCTTTTAACACCACGTGAGTTGTGTGCTCCTCTGTGTCTTTTATTTCTTTTTAATGTATTTTATTGACTTTATTTGTTTACTACTATTCTATGATTTTGCTCTTATTTTATTTTAATGGTTTTATTATTTTAAGACTAGTATGATTAAATCTGAGTGTTTATTTTATCATTTTATTATTGTTGTTACTACTACTACTACTACTACTACTACTACTACTACTACTACTACTACTACTACTACTACTACTACTACTACTACTACTACTACTACTACTACTACTACTACTACTACTACTACTACTACTACTACTACTACTACTACTACTACTACTACTACTACTACTACTACTACTACTACTACTACTACTACTACTACTACTACTACTACTACTACTACTACTACTACTACTACTACTACTACTACTACTACTACTACTACTACTACTACTACTACTACTACTACTACTACTACTACTACTACTACTACTACTACTACTACTACTACTACTACTACTAGACTACTACTACTACTACTACTACTACTACTACTACTACTACTACTACTACTACTACTACTACTACTACTACTACTACTACTACTACTACTACTACTACTACTACTACTACTACTACTACTACTACTACTACTACTACTACTACTACTACTACTACTACTACTACTACTACTTACAACTTACTACTACTACTTACTAGTACTACTACCACTACTACTACTACCACTACTACTGCTGCTAGAACTACAACTACTACTAGTGCTGCTACTACTACTACTACTACTACTACTACTATTACTACTTACTACTACTACTACTACTACTAGGACTACTACTGCTACTACTACAACTACTACTAGGACTACTGCTACTACTACTACTACTACTAGGACTATAGGACGACTACTGTTATTATTATGTATTTGTGCAGCACTTTGGAATCTGTTTGTGAAATGTGCTATAGAAATAAACTGGATTGGACTGTTTCTATGGAGATGTCATTGCTCTGCCTGGAATGTTCCACATTGCCTCTCCACAGATCTGACCTGTAACTTGGTCTGGTTTGGTCTCCGTGAAGATAGAAAGGTTTAGTACCGTACTCTGAAACATTCCAGACAAAGCAATAATGTCACCAATACACCTTTAAGAGCGCCTTGAAACTTACAGAAACAACTACACTTTCATAACTTTCTACAAAGATAAAACATTGAAAGTTCTGTTTTTGCTACTTACACATTTTTATACAACTGAATTAACAATTGACACTTCAAACTTTTCCATTAAATGCTGTGTAAAGCTTATTTAAACAAAGCAGAATACTCACTCTTCTACGTCGATGGTGACCTTAAGCTTCTGCGTGAGCAAAACAAAAAAAACAGAAACGACAATCATTCCAAGGTTTCACTTTGCAGCAGAAGACTTAAAAAAAAAACTTTGAGGCATGATTAAAGATGAAAGACTTGGTTTGTTGGCGGTGAGAGAAAGAGAAGGGCAGGTTTAATATGGAAATTTGAATTAAAAAAATCATAAAATATAATCACAAACAGACTTGGAGTTGTGCTTAGTTTCATTCACACATGTTTAACGCACAAACCTGCATATTTAGGCTGATTTCTTCTCTCAAATTGAAATCACTCTGTTCCTCCTTGTGATGTCATGATGTCTTACCAGAGGTGGAAATAGTACTGAAAAAATGTAAATAAGTAAAACTATCTTTACTTTGCCTAATTCCTGCTCAAGTAAAAGTAACCATCTAAAAATCTTGTCGAGTAAAAGTAAAAAGTGCTTCTTTTAAAATGTAATTTGGGTAAAAGTTATTTAGTTACTTTCAAGTTTTTGATGTAAAAAAGTCATAAATCTAATCCAGTACAAGTTGTTTTAATCAACTTTAAGGTGATACAGTGCAAACTTTGTATATTTTTAAAGACAAGTGAGCTCTTTCTTCTTTTTATAGAACTTTTACAGAACTCAGAACTTTAAATGCATAAACCGCATAAACTAATTAAGCTGATTAAACTGATTTGATGTCGAGGTTTTGAGCGCTGACAGCTCTGTCCGGAGGGACACACACTTTGCATTGCATTATTATGTTGTTCCCTACTTTTTGTTTGAACACAAATAGCTGTCCTCTGTCTCTGCTCGACACCACCAATTTGATCCAAGACAGACTGACAGTTCTGTACAATGACTTTACTTTCTATAGTGAAAATGCCACACGTACAAACCCACGCAATTTCCTTTCATTTCCGGCAGATTGTTTTTTGGGTTTTTTTTGTTTTGTTTTATGAATTTCATTTTTTTCCTCTGTCAATCTGATCTTACTCTGTAGCAGGGTTGGGGTTCAATGTAATGAAGTAAAATACTTGGATCAAATGTACTCGAGTAAAAGTAAAATGACCTATTTAAAAAACTCATCCTCATAAAAACTACTCAATTACAGCAGCGCAAGTAAATGTAATTTGTTACTTTCCACTCTTGGGTAATACAGGAAGTGCACTAGTGTGTTTTTAAATTCCATACACCTTCACTAGAAGCAGCACAGGACTTGCCAATCTCTACTGAATTAAAGATAAAAAAATGGTAACACTTTATAATAACTACACCTTATTTAGCCTTAATAAAGCATGAACACTTAATTAATAATGACGCTTCACGCTTAGTAACTACTTAATTACTACCTGAATTAGCACTTAACTTGCACTTAATTCTCTTGTGCTGTAAATAGTTACTCAGTACTTCTTAATTACTCATGAACTAACCATTTGCATGTTTACAAATGCATATTTAAGTACATTTTTAGTCAAATTCCAGAGAAACAATAATGCGTTACTAGTAAATCATTCTCTCATGGCTTACTAATCATTGATAAATGCTCAAATTTACTTAAATATACATTTACAAATGCACACACAAATGGTTAGTTCATGAGTAATTAATTAAGAAGTACTTATGAGTAACTATTTACAGCACAGGCGAATTAAGTGCAAGTTAAGTGCTAATTCAGGTAGTAATTAAGTAGTTACTAAGCGTGAAGCGTCATTATTAATTAAGTGTTTGTTCATGCTTTATTAAGGCTAAATAAGGTGTAGTTAATATAAAGTGTTACCGGTAAATGTTGAAAACTGCTGCTTCATGACATCACAAGGTGGAACAGATCATTTTGGGTTTTGGAGATGTAGACAGACTAACAATAAAGAATTACTCAAACATGTGTGAATGAAACAAAACACAATTCCAGGTATGTTTTTTAGGGAGGTAACATTCTAACATGGCTTAAAGCTCACAAAACTTGTAATATAGGACCTTTAATAAGCTTGAGTCATAACTGAAACTATGCTTAGTGAAATAATAGTTTTAATTATTTTTTTTTGTTTGTTTGTTTGTTTTTTGTTTGCCATTACCATATTTTAACACAATTTTAGTTTTGAGTTTTTTCCTGTTATATTTATAATGCATTATATTAAAACAGGTACTTTGCACAGCTCAGTTATCCACCAACAACTGTAAGATTCTACGGTAAAAATGTTTTAGAATGAACAAATATTCATAACTTGTGTTGTTTTCTTAACAACTTTTTGTTTCTTGTAAACTTTAAGCCAGATTATGTTATTACCCCATCAAAAACATACCTGGAGTAGTGTTTTATTTCATTCACACGCTTGAGTAATCCTTTATTATTAGTCTGTCTACATCTAACATCTCAAATACTTTGTTTCACCTTGTGATGTACTGAACTGGTAGTTTACAGTTAACAACTCTTTTCACCTTTTGTTCAGTAGAGATTGGCAATTCCAGGTCAGAAATTATCTAAATGATTCAAGAGAAAGCGTATGGAGTTTAAAGACACATTGGAGCACTTCCTGTATTACCACATGACATCACAAGGTGGTGCAGATTTCAGTTTGAGAGAAGAACTCAGCCTAAATCTGCAGGGTTTCTGTGTTAAACATGCGAATGAAACAAAACACAACTCCAGTTATATTTTCAATGAAGAAAAAATATTATAACAACATACAGATCAGGTAATAAATGAGAAAAAAGTGTAATGTGAGCCCTTTAAAGCCAGGTGAGATATATCGCTGTGAGTAACGAACAATATTTGCTAACATAATTTGAAAGCGGGGCCCAGGTTTTATTAGTAGCAGCGTGGGTTGCGTTATATTAAAGTTCGTGAGTGTACAGGGACTTCAGCGACGGTACCTGTGTATTATCCAGGGACTCTGAGCTGTGATGGCTGCTCAGGTGCTGTCTTCTCTCAACTGTGGAGGAGGAAAGCAACAATATTAAAACTGTCACAAAGAAACAGCTATGGGCTTCTCAACGGGAAAGAGGTACACAAGTTTACCCCAACAGCAAAGGGGATTACCTGCAAACACTTCCACATATTTAGATCACCGTGTTACCTTTTATTGTTGTGAAAATACTATATCAGATGCAAACTAAGTATTAGCACGTTTTGTAGGTTTCACTTTTGTTTTTGACGCTCTGGGTCAGAAGTCACTCCCCCTTCAGAGCACTATCACATTATAGTAGGTTCTGCTAATGAAACTGTACTGTATTGTTACGTATCATGTTTTTGTACATTTATGGAGAACTGTCGTGCTGGAGGCTTGGACAGAATCTCACAGCTAAAGAGGGTTTGAATCGGGCCTAGGAGAGATCGCTAAATTACTCAAACATGCATCTAAAACCTCTTCAGGCGTGTTTTTAATGAGGGAACAACATTATAAAGGGTAGAAAAGTAAATTTTGCACACAGACCTGGAGTTGTGTTTTGTTTCATTCACACATTTTTATTAGTTAGTTCTTCTCTCAAACAGAAAACACTCTGTTCCACCTTGTGATGTCATGTGGTGATACAGGAAGTGCTCCATAGTGTCTCTAAACTCCATATATTTTCACTCGAATCATTTAGATAATTTCAGTTCTGGAATTGCCAACTTCTACTGAACTACAAAAAAAAAAAAAGGTAGCTGTTAACTCGAAAACTACCACTAGATGACATCACAAGGTGGAACAGAGCATTTGGAGGTTTGGAGATGTAAACAGACTAATAATAAAGGATAAAGGAAGTGCTCCATAGTGTTTTTAAACTGCGTACACTGTCACTCGAATTTCAGTTCCGAAATTACCAATCTCTACTGAAATTTTAAAAAAAAGGGAGCTGTTAACTCGAAAACTACCACTTCATGACATCACAAGGTGGAACGGAGCATTTTGAGCTTTGGAGATGTAAACAGACTAATAACAGGTTTGCTCAAACATGTGTGAATGAAACAAAACTCAACTCCAGGTCTGTTTTTGCTGAGGTAACAGAATTTTAACATGACTTAAATCTCACAAGAGTCTATTTTGTGTAATATAGAACCTTTAAATGTATCAGATATTCACTCAGATATAAATAAATACCTAATTATTATCTTTTGATGCAATCAGATCAAGGTGAAACTATTTGAAAGCAATGAAAACAAAACTGTAATATTAATTAAATGCATCCACTTAGCAATGCGTTGACTAATTTACTATAGCTGTCAGTATAAAACAACTGTAGTATTATATGCGTTTGAGTTCATTTGATTTTATTCATCTAAATGAAGGTCACAAATGAATATCGTGTCCAAATACAGTGTTTAAACTTTGAATTAAGGACAACAATTATGGACACAGTCATTGAGGTCTGAAATGAGTTTACACTGGAATTAAAGGGCCTATATTACACAAAACTGACTCGTGTGAGCTTTAAGTCATGTTAAAATGCAGTTTCTGCCTCTAAAACACACTTGGAGTTTTTTTTTTTCATTCATACAAAGTAGCCCTTTATTATTAGTTTGTCTACTTCTCAAAAGCTCAAAATGTTCTGTTCCCCCTTGTGATGTCATATAATGCTTAGTTCAGTAGAGATTAGCAAATCCACAGATGAAATTATCACAGTGGAAAAAACACTTCCTGTATTACCACATGATGTCACAAGGTGGTACAAAGTGTTTTCCAGAACACAGCCTATAAATAAGTGTGTAGGGTGTGTGTGTTAAACATGTGTGAATGAAACAAACCACAACTCCAGGTCTGTTTGTGAGGAAGATACAACATTAGAACAAACTGTAGATCAGAAACAGTGTAATATGGGTCTTTTAAATCGGACTGCAAGTCACAAAGAATGTACACTACTGGTCAAACGCTTAAAACACCTTCATTTTTCTACTTATTTATTGCAATTCAAGTCCTGCAAGTCCAATGAAGAGCTTGAAATGGTACAAATGTAAATACTGAAAAGGCAGAGGTTTGGAGTGTCCAGCACAGTCTCCAGACTTAAATCCCATTGAGCTGGTTTGGGATGAACTGGACAGAAGAGTGAAGAAACCTACAAGTGCCACACATTTATGGGAACTTCAGCTACAGACTTGGGAAGAACTTTCTGCAGAATATTTGATTTCTGTTGTAAAAAGAACGAGCCACGAGTGTGTTCAGCTGTTATATCTGCCAAAGGTGGACACTTTCATGAATCAAAAATACGTTTTGGTCAACAGTAAAAGTAAGTAAGTAAGTAAAAGTGCAGGCTTCTAAAACTTTTGACCAGAAGTGTATAAACGAACACAGAGATGCATTTGCTTTTCCTGGAATGTTCCACTGTATTGCATTACACTTATCTCCATGGAGACAATCAGTTGGCTCCACCAGGCCAAGTAACAAGTGAGGCGACCTCAATTACAACAAGAATGCATTTTACAAGGAATTTGTGTGGAATAAAATGAATAAATATAAGATAAATATGTTTAATGTCATACTGTGAAACATTCCACACAAAGCAGCAGTATCTCCATGGAGACCAGCATGTAAGGCACCCTCCAGAAAAGTTACCTAGTACACCTTTAACTTAATTTTTATTCATTAATATTCATATTTTGTGTGCTGCAAGTTGTCTACGCAAGCTTATCTTTACATATTAGAAACTTGAGGGTCCATCACCTGCTTGTTTCTATGGAGATGTCATTGCTCTGCCTGGAATGTTCCACAGTATGACATTAAACAGCTCCACTTTACATTTGTTCAATTACAGGTGGCTTTTATAGCTCAAAAAAAAAAAATAGAAAAACAGGTATTCTGAATGTGAGCGAGGTCGCCTCTCCACAGATCTGACCTCTAGCTTTGTCTGACGATAAAAAGATTTAATACCACACTGTGAAACTTTCCAGACAAAGCAAGAACATCTCCATGCAGAAAAGCATTTGACAGACCCTCCCCCAGAAAAGTTACACAATGCTTTAACATATTTAAACCTACCTACATTTTCTTTTCAAATATTTCTAAAACACATTTTTCATTGCAAGTTAAAACTGAATAAAGATGAATTTAGTTTTTACCTTTTCCCCAGAGGAAGCTGTCTTTTCGCCGCACGGCCATGATGTTGCTGGTGAGACTGAAGTGAACAGGAAGTGAGCGGCTGCAGACTGAGCTGTGCCACAAATACTCGGCTCATTTTGACTGAGATAATGGTTCACATGAAAAAGATGTAGTATAGTATATTTAGATCAGCTCATAAAAAAAACAAAAAAAAACAAAAACAGGAAGTGCATGTTCAAATGTCAAATGTAATTGCACAAGTTTGATTTATTTTAAGTATTACAAAAGCCTTAGCAAACAGAAAATAATGATGAAAATCTTGGCCAAAAAATGACCAAAAAGTACTACTGAAAAAAAAAGTTAAAATAATTACATATGATGATTGTATAATTCCTAACAATATAAGGCTTGAAAACAATCGGGGGAGTGGCAAAATATATAAGTTAGTAAAAAGTATATCTATTTTTTCAGCAGGCCCGTTGACAGAAATTTGGGGGCCCGGGGCAAAAAGTCTCACATGGGCCCCTTCAAATATAAATGAATAGAAAGAGGGTCCAATTTTGGGGCCCCAAAACGCTGGGGCCCTGGACAACTGACCCCTTTGTCCCCGTCTTCATTATGATTTTGTAGAACTATTCACTTTCTATCAGTTCTTATATAAATTAGCTGTAAAAATAGGTATAAATCAGAAAAGTAATCAGAAAAGTTGCATAGTGAAGCTTTAAAACCATCACCATAACAATAAAAAACTACAATTTGAAATCTGTTTGTTTTCGTGCAATATACAGTATAACTTCTAACTATATGTACATTCTTATCGATTTGAGAGGGGTCGCCTCTCCGCAGATCTGACCTATTCCTGTCTGGTGGTGGTACTGCAAAGTCCAGTGCATGTGAGAAGTTTTATAGTATAACACTTGAGTTTCACTTCTGTTTGACAGCCCCCTCTAGTGGTCCCACTCACACTTCCTCCTCCAAACACTCGGAGTCAGGGGTTATTTTTAGACGTGAGACTGAGAACTAAAACAGTGCATGTGGTCATTTTAAGAGCAAGCAGAGTGCAACATTTATGAGAAAAATTATGTTGAAATGAAGTTTAAACTTTGAACTATTAAACTTTTCTAGATGTGCTTGTCTCCATGGAAAGTTCCACAGTATGGCATAAACTTATCTTTCTTGTGTTTTGTTTTGTTTTTACTTACAGGTGTTTATGTTGCTAAAAATACCTTCCAAAATACATAATGTGGGTGCGCCCCTCCACAGACCTGATATGTGTTGTCTAAGGGTGCACTCACACTAGGACTTTAGAACTGTGCCCAAGCATGGATAGCTCCAACATTTTGGACTTTGACCCAGAGGAGGAGGTACACTAATGCATGATTACTTTCATAGCTCATTAACTTTCCTCCAGAGAGTTGACCTACATCCAGTGGTGATCCTAAACTGATTTACTCCCTCAGCGAGACAACATCTTGGCGTGCGTATGCCTGATGCAGCCTGAGGGGGGCGCAAAAATGTAAACACCAGCACATCTTGACTAAGGTGACTAGATTTTCAGAATTAAAAACTGGGACACACCTGGGTTGGGTTGGTTGGTGTAAATAGAATTGTGAAAAGAGTGTGTAACATTTTCCATTCTCGACTCACTTGCGGATCAGTCATAACCTGAGGGACTGTTGTTGTATTTTTGTTTTGTTTTATGGTTATTTTCAAGCATGGTTTCATAATTTTTAATCAAACAAATGACAATAAATTCCTCTCTTTACTGTTGGTGGCGGATCAAATTGGTCAGAAATAGGGACAACTGGGACATTTCTTGTATAAAACTGGGACAAATCAGTCATTTTGGATAAATCTGTTGGGACAGGGAACACAGGGCTCAAAACTGGGACTGTCCTGGGTAAATAGGAACGTCTGGTCACTCTAATCTTGACATGATCACATGGAGAAGCCGAATTTAGAACTATGCCATTCTCCAAGTCAAGTCTCCATGGGTATAGATAGGTTTCACGCTAAACTGTGGGACATTCCAGGCACAGTAATATACGTTGATACAAACTAAGGCACTGCTCTTTCTCAAGCTCTGTTACTCAAGTTTGACTTTAATCTGACGTTTGTTTTAACACAAACTTACCAGAAGGAACTGAGTTAGAGTACGTTTACACTGAAAAGAATCACAGTGTCACTGTATCGGATATTATCTGCGTCCGGACATGTCGTGTCTGTGTCTGGAATCCTTCCCTATCCTCACAGCTTTGATTATATTTGCTTACATTTTACAGAAACAAAACTTAAAACCGCCTGGCTAATTTGCATAAACTGAGCGCTCAAAAAACAGTTCGCTATTGTGCGCTGATGCAGTTCAGCTTCTGTTGGACTAAAGGACACGACTCAGTGGATTATATGTGTTCTTTGTGTGACAGAGGGGTGTTCTGCTGATGGTGAGTCTGTTCTGTGCTTCTGTCGCATTGGAGTTGGTTCATGTTAAACTTTTCAGAGATTATACATCTGCAGGTCGTACGCATAGACCGTATATATGAATGGACATATATTCTAGCCTCTTAGCGTTTTGGCAGTGAGTTACTTTGCCGCGCATAGACCTATGTTAGCATATCAGCATTTTCAGGTGTCCACACAGTGCGAGATCAGATCCGTACTCAGATGAATTGTTGGGAGCTGGCGGCACCAGATCATTCCGTCTCGGCCGTTTTCAATCGGATTAGTGTGGACGAACACTGCAACGAAAATGACTCAAATACTTACTAGTGTGGATGGGGCCTTAGTCAGAAATGGTAATTTTCAGATTCTATAATGTAATGATGTCAAACATTCAGATGAGGGGGCAAAGAACTTTTCTTTTTTTTTTTTCCAGTTGATTATATTGTACTTTGTCATCAAATATCTAAAAAATAAATGCACAAATGTTGAATCTGATCATTTCTACGACTGATTAGACCAAAAACACACTATTACAAAACAAATCTGCATTTTATCAATAATTATTTTAGCTGCCGCCGATCTGTATTAATTAATATTGGCCTGTAGAATGTTGTGATGTCATCTGAAACCCAGCAATTACAAAATTTGGGCTCATTTGTGCTGGTAAACAAGTCCTCCTCAAATAACATTAGAGTCACACGATAAGCAACATTAGCCAACAGTTTTTCAGTTTGTCACTCTCACCTTTTTACTGAAATTCAAACACCTAAACAGGATCATGAACACTGGTATTGGTCACGGACTGCTGAAAATGCTTATTGGGTTGTTTGCTAATGTCTGCATTGTGTCACCACGGTAACGGCAAAAGAGCGATGTATAGGGAAAACTCATTAACACTTGAATGAGATACATATTGACAATTGCAACGAATATTAAAAGTCCAGTTTTGGATGATTTCGTTACAGTGCTATTTTTTCTCTGATTTCCTTGAGCAACGTTTAATCTTTTATTAAACTAAATATAATTATAATTCCTCAGCCTCTCCACAAACTCCATTCACTCCCTGATCCTTTCATTCCCTGTGTTCCTCCTTTAGTCTTTGGTCTATTCACATTGTACGGCCTTGATGTGACTCATTTCTTTATAATATTCACAAGCTCTCACCTTTGCCATTCAATGATGAGAAAAGGATTAATTTTTGGCATTTCAACATAAACTGAAATATACGCCAGAAATACAGGTTCACGGCTTCTATAGTAGAACATGAGAAATGATGCAGTTATTTGAGAGAAAATTGTATTAATGTAATGTAACCTTGCATACAGCTATAAATCCAGAACACACACGTCTTTAAACGCACTTTATTAAAATTTTCGGTAGTGGGTCCGTCGCATTCTTTGCATTGTTTCTAAAGAAATATTATTTTCTCTGCTTGGAATGTTCCACAGTGTGACATTAAACGGCTCTACCTTACAGTTATTCAATTACAGGTGTTTTTATAGCTCAAAAACACCTAGAAAAACCTCTTCACAGATCTGACCTGTAACTTGATCTGGTTTGGTCTCCATGATAATAGAAAGGTTTAATACCATACTGTGAAGCATTCCAAACAAAGCAATAACATCTCCAGGAAGAAAGAAAGAAAAAAAAAAAACATTTGACAGACTCTCCACCAGAAAAGTTACACAAAGCATCTTTAATAGGATATTTTACAAAGATCTGAGCCCGTTCAGGGACATGTGCAGCCCATCTGTATCAAAACAAATGTGGCTGATTAAATGAGGGGAAATAAAAGGGAAAAGATATCACATGGGACTGAAAAAGATTGTAGATTTCTGCAGAATCAATACAGTAAGTGATGGAAGATAGGGCACAGGCTTATGCAATGTGGGCTGGAGGACACAGAGGAGGAAACCCACCTTTGTCTTCAACTATTTTACTAAAATAAGTAAAATATAAACTTTTGAATACTGAATCCTCAAGTCACTTTTTTTTTCAACTTTGTTTATTCAGCATTTTTAACATTTCCAGAGAAATACAGTTGCAGTGTATTGGATAACAGAATTACAATAAGTAACAGGCAGTAAGTCAGACTTGAAGACCTGTTCCCTGTGCATGCTGGGCTCCACCAAGGCTGCTGTTTGTCACCGGTTCTGTTCATTCTATTTATGGACAGAATTTTCTAGGCCCAGCCAGGGGCTGATTTCATCTCTGCTGTTTACAGATGATGTTGTCCTGTTGGCTTCATCAGACCAGGACCTACAACATGCAGGGCGGTTTGCAGCTGAGTGTGAAGAGGCTGGGATGAAAATCAGTTCTGCCAAATCCGAGGCCATGATTCTCGACTGGAAAAAGGTGGCTTGCCCTCTCTGGGTGGGTGGGAAGTTCTTGCCTCAAGTGGAGGAGTTTAAGTATCTCGGGGTCTTGTTCACAAGTGAGGGAAGGACAGACTATGAGATTGACAGGCACATCGGTGATTCTGCGCTGAGGCGGTCGCTGTATTGGACCTTTGTGGTGAAGAGGGAGCTGAGCCAAAGGACAAAGTTCTCTATTTACCAGTCAATCCACGTTCCTCCCCTCACCTATGGTCATGAGGTCTGGGTAATGACCGAAAGAACAAGATCATGGATACAAGTGGTTGAAATGCGTTTCCTCTGCAGGGTGGCTGGGTGCTCCCTTAGAGATAGGGTGAGGAGCTCAGTCATAC